CTAGGGAAGATTAAATGGGGGTAACTTTGAGGGCATCTTATAGTGTCTGCTTGTTGGGACCAAAGGTCTCTTTTGCCTGTTTCGCAAGTTCTTTGTATCCTCTTTCAGGAATCTGAGGCAAGCTAAGAATCCATGCCCAGGAGAATATGTAACTGCCCACCATCTTTCCCAGCTGCTCCCTTCGGGGGGTGGGTGCTCCTGGCCCTTGCTGACCAGGCCTGGGCACGCCCTGTACTGCACCTGCTGCTGCTGGAAGGCTCCACGCTCCTCCGAGCAGACAGCAGTGGAAGTAATTGCACAGCAAGTATGGATGTTGGCTGTTTTCTCTTTAGTTTTTACAGCACTGTTGGTAAAAGAGCAATTATTACTAAAAATATTTAATCCCCTTAAAAAGAATAAGCCAAGGAAATATGGCTCCTAACTTCAGTTATATTTGGAAGAGCATTAGCGAAAGTTGTTCATCTGTCTCTGATCACAAAGAAGGGAAACAAGTGTCTTAAATTTTTTTTTCTAGAGGCTTTTAATTTCCTTGCAGTCTGTTTCCAAAAAAAAGGATTACAAATAGTTGATGAATCTAGACCACTTCTTACTGTTTATTTGCAAACATTTTTATAATAGTTATTCCTTGCACTTACAATTTATTAGCAGTGAGCTCGTGGCCCATTTTGAAGATATTTCTTGGTTAATTAGGGAGTTGTCTTAGTTCCAAATATTGAGATAGTGGAAGGAAGATTATGAACTGTGTGCTGTGAGCAGAGGAGAGCTGGGGCGGGCAGCACATGCTCTGCTTCTGTACGAGTGGCATGATTCTTTAGGGTTTGTTTTTAAATTGTGTTTGGAGTGTGGAAAGATGTCTGCCATCCGCATACTCACTTTTCAAATACACAAACAGCTGGAGCCAGGCACTCCATCTGGGTTTCCCACATTAGTAGCAGGGTCCCACCTGCTGCCTTCTTTAATGTACCTGAACAGGAAGCTGGACTAGGGAGCAGAGCTGGGATTTAAATCAAGGGACTTGGGCTATGGGATGGAGAAGCCCAAGCAACATCTTAACTGTTCTGCAGCACACTGGCCGCTTGAAGTGTCTCGGGCTACAAGAGGTGCAGAAACTAAACAGCTCGATCAGCATGATGAACATTTCATAGCCTTTGTTTCCTGAATTTGTTTCTAGATATTAGAGAATTTTATTCATCCAGGTAATTAAGACAAAATGGAAAGTTCTTGTCAAAGAACTCATGGTACCTAATTGAAAAGGTAAAGACGGGCATGTTGTAGAAGTGCTTCCCACGCCTCCACTTGGTTTCACTGCACTTCCCTTAGGGATTGCATATGCTTCTCTCCTCATAAATGTATTCCATCGTACCCCAAAATCAGCCCACATGAGGTTGTGAAGTATAGATGACAGGTTGCTTTCTTATTTTGATTTTTCTATTCTTACAGACCAGTGGTTATGTAGCTGTCAGCTTTATTTTATTGTTGCACATTTATTTTCATTTGAAAGGCAGAGGGACAGAGAGCACCTGCTGCTTGACTCTACAAGTGCCCATAACAGCCAGAAGTTGGCCAGAGAAAGCTAGGAGCCCAGAACTCAGTCTGAGTCTTCCATGTTGGTGTCAGGGACCCAACTACTGGGGACCGCACCTGCTTCCGGAGCACGAGCATGCGTCAGCAGCAAAAAGAATTGGGAGCATGTGGAGGGGGTGCTGGCGCAATGGCTCAACTAATTAATCCTCTCTCTTCAAGCACAGGCATCCCATATGGGTGCTAGTTTCTGACCCAGCTGCTCTGCTTCCCATCTGGCTCCCTGCTTATGACCTGGGAAGGCAATGGAGGACGGCCCAAACCCCTGGGATCCTGCACCCACGTAGAAGACTCGGAAGAGGATCCTTGCTTCCTGGCTTCAGAATTGGCTCAGCTATGGGCATTGCAGCCACTTGGGCAATGAACCAACAGATGGAAGATCTTCCTCTATGTCTCTCCTTTTCTATGTAAATCTTTCCAATAAAAATAAATCTTTTAAAAAAATAGAATTTGGGGGCCCATTGCGTTGGCCTAGTAGCTAAAGTCCTTACCTTGAACGTACCAGGATCCCATATGGGCACTGGTTCTAATCCTGACAGCCCCACTTCCCATCCAGTTCCCTACTTGTGGCCTGGGAAAGCAGTTGAGGACGGCCCAAAGCCTTGGAACCCTGCACCCACGCGGGAGACCTGGAAGAAGCTCTTGGGTCCAGATCGGCTCAGCTCCAGCCATTATAGTTGCTTGGGGAGTGAACCAGTGAACGGAAGATCTTCTCTCTGTCTCGCCTCCTCTCTGTATATCTGACTTTCCAATAAAAATGAAATAAATCTTAAAAAAAAAAATAGAATTTGAAGCAGAGCCGAGAGTTGAACCCAGGCAGTAGGATGTGGGATGCAGGTGTCTGAAGTGGCACTTTAACCACTGTGCAGAGTCCGACCTGTATCTGCCCCCCCCCTTTTTGATGTTTTATTTATTTACTTGAAAGACAGAGTTACAGAGAGAGGAAAAGATCTTCCATCCATTGGTTTGCTCCTGAAATGGTGGAAACAGCAAGGGCTTGGCCAGGCTGAAGCCAGGAGCCCCATGCAGGCCTCCCGCATACGTGGCAGGGAGAAGCAGTGGAGCTGACTAAGATGCTGATGTTGCGAGCTGTGGTTTAACCAGCTGTACCAGAGATGCTCGAGTAGACAAGTCATTGTTTCTTTTTTTTAAGATTTTATTTTATTTTTATTGGAAAGGCGGTTATAAAGAGAGGAAGATCTTCCATCTGCTAGTTCACTCCCCTAGTGGCAGCAACTGCCGGAGTTCAGCAGATCCAAAGCCAGAAGCCAGGAGCTTCTTCCAGGTCTCCCACGCGGATGCAACGGGTCCCAAGGCTTTGGGCCGTCCTTAACTGCTTTCCCAGGCCACAAGCAGGGAGCTGGATGGGAAGTGGGGCTGCCGGGATTAGAACTGGTGCCCATATGGGATGCTGGCATGTGCAAGGCAAGGACTTTAACCACTTTAACCACCACTATCGTGCCAGGCCCATGTCATTGCTTTTGAATAGATTTTAAGAAATTGGCATTTTACACATATATATGTCATAAAAAGCAACATATCTTTACTCTTTCTCTTTAGAGGATCTGTTTTTGAACTTTGTGTCTAAGTGTTCCTGAAGTAGGTCCTGCTGTGGCAGCTTTGCCACAGCATCGTCGCTGCGTTGCTGGGCAGCACCAAGCAGAGTGCAGTGTATTGTTGCTAAGCTGATGGAAGCTTTGCACTGCCGCCGTTTGGGAGGGCTCTTACACATAGTGTTGCTTTACACATTCTTGGTTGTTGGGTATAGATATACAAATATTGGGTGACATTCTGCAGGTAGGGTTGGCTGGGTTAAGGAGATGGCTAATGCTAGGGAGTGTTTCAAAGCAGCCAGTTTGTTCTTCCAAAAGCATAAGAGTTGATTTCTCTCGCAGTCCGTAAGTTCTCTTTGTCACTGTGTCGTATCTCCTTTGTCGCTCTACTTTGATGCCTTATGTTCAGTGCTTTCGCTGGGTCCCATGCTTACTGGCACTAGCTTCCCTCTGTTCTCATTAGTCTTTGGTAGCTTTTGTCTACTTGTGATAAGAGGGCAGGAGACATCTCCCCTCAGGAGTATTCTTCAGAAAAGAAGTCTTTGGTACAGGGAAGAAATGTGCAGAATTTACATTTGTACCATGTCACATGCCCGAGAAGTGTTCACCAGGTGAAAAATCTCATATAATACATACGAGGAACAGTGTGATGGCATAGAGAGAAATGGCTGAGTCCATAATAAGAGAAGCCTCTGTATGTTCATGATGATTAGGTCAGTAAGGGCTGCTCAGGGTAGTCTCACAATTTCAGGTGCTTAATGTGAGAGGAGTTTATTTCCTGTTCCCCTGTATGGGTTTTCTTTGTAGGTAGGAGGGCTTGATTGTGTGTACATGGGATTTTGGGATACAGACTACTTAACATCTTTTGGTTGTTCTATCCCTTAGGGTCTTGGAGACCTCTGCGTTCACCCGGAGTTGGGAAGAGGTGATAGAAAAAGAATGTATACTTCTAAGAATAAAGCTCTTTTCTGCTCACACTCCCCTGCTGGGAACTTCACAAGAGGGTGGGAAATGGGGTTTCTGGTTGGTACTGGTGCCCAGGTCAGTGCCACAGGCTGCTGGAGGAGTTAGCTTTGGCTAAGAGGGTAGCTAGCCAGCTGTGCTGTACCAGCTCCTTGAAGATGAGAGTAATTAATGCCTGTTGGATTGGAACAGCTTATTAGCTTCTGTTAAGGTGCTCATTATTGTTATTACTTTAATTTATAGAATTTTTTTTATTACATTGTGTTATGTGACACAGTTTTAGGCACTAGGATTCCCCCTCCCCCAACCTCTCCCCATGGTGGATTCCTCCACCTTGTTGCATTGCCACAGTTCAAGTTCAGTTGGGGATTTACAGAATTTTTAAAACATGTGAAAGATTTTTTTTATCTAAAAGGCAGAGAGAGATGTTCCATCTTCTGGTCACTCCCCGAATGGCCTGTCGCAACCAGCCGAGGCGCCGCTTGCTGCCATCGAGGCTATGTGTAAACAAGCTGGTTTTTGTAGCAGAGCCAGGACTCAAAGTCAGGCTTTCTGAAGGGGGTTGGGCATCTTGGACAAGGGCTTGGCCGCCGTGCCAATCCTCCAGGTACTAGTTATTCTAAGTGGTGACTTGGACCAGGAAGTCAGTTTAGATTTATGGCTAACTGGAAGTTCTTGCCTGCCTTGTGCTGCTTAGTTCTAGGATTTGTTCTAACTTTGGTTTTCTTATTCTTTATAGTTAGACCACCTTGCAGTGAAACTTAGAAACTACCATCTCCACTTCATTCTGCAAGCTGCTGAGGAAGAAAAAAGCTGTCACACTGTGATATGCCATTATCAGCCAGTGATTATATTGGATTTAACCCCTTCTCCCATCTTTTTGCTCCTTCCCCTTCCCTCTAGTTTGAAATTGGCACAATGGAAGAAGCTGGAATTTGTGGGCTAGGGGTGAAAGCAGCTGTGTTGTGTAACTCACAGTCAAATAGTCTTCAACATCAAGACTCAAATTGTGGTGGGACAACTAAGAAGCATTCATTGGACGCGGATGAAGGCAGTGACTTTGTAACAAGGAACAGGAGTTTGGTGGGCCCAGCCTGTTGCGCACCAGAGTCGAGAGAGGACATTCCTGGGCGAGAAGCGCGGACAGATCCCCCTGATGGTCAGCAGGATTCAGAGTGCAACAGGAACACAGAGAAAACCTTAGGTAATGATACTTCTCCGCAGTTGGGTGTTTTCATGCACTGCTCTTTTTCTTCCTGTCTCTTGCGGCACAGTGGTTAGCAGCATAGCCAGGTCGGAGGTGCCTGCAGCAGAGCACGAAGCATAGTCATGCGTCTCAGGAACTAAGAATTGGCGTTCTAGAAAACATATGGGTCCAGCTTGACAGAAGTGGTTTCTGACTTGCCTTGAATGCATCTTTAATGCAGTCTGGCTGAAAACCCTGGGGGACTGTATGTGTATTTGAGCGCTCAGTTAGCAATAATGTTCTCCAGTCCACAAGGTGGGCTAAGACTGGCCTTGCAGGGCGTGCTTTACCTCTCTAGCTCTAGTCACACAGTTTCTGAAGTAGATCTCCTCAGTGAAACTTGAATCTTCCTTTCCCTTTTAAAAGACTGACTTATTTGAAAGGCAGAGTTAGAGATCTTTCATCTGCCAGTTCACTCCCCAATTGGTTGCAGTGGCTGGGGCTGGGCCAGGCTGAAGCTAGCAGCCTGGAATTTCATTTGAGTCTCCTATGTGTAGGGGCCCGAGGGCTTGGACAATTTCCCACTGCGTTCCCAGGTACGTTAGCAGGGAGCTGCATCCAAACTAGAGCAGCCAGGACTCAAGGCAGCACTGATAGCGTATGCCAGTGTCAGGTAGCGACTTGACCCGCTATGCCATGATGCTGACCCCTGATCCGCTTTTATTTTACCCTTACTAAAAGCTAAAAGTCCTCTTGAGTTTTTAATACTTATTATATCTAAGATTTACAGGTTTCATTTGCATGGTTTTCTATGTGATTGTAAGTTGGGATTATCCTTATTAAATCTATTTTCATCTACCCTGGAAAAGGTAAAACTATATACAGATATGAAAAAAAGTAATTCTAATTCTTTATAAACAAGACAGATTTCTTCAAAACCAGTATTCTCAATTTTATGAAAATATAATTTCCAGAAGTTATATACCTGTTATAAGACCAAAGCAATTCTACCTCTAGGAATACACCCAAGAGAATGAAAAATCTACAGAGGCACTTATGCACAAATATTCAGAAGTTCCTAGCAGCATTATCAATAACAGTTAAAGTTTTAAGACTACACAAATATCCTCCAACTGTTGAATGGATAAGTAAAATGCCTGTCCATGGGATGGAATATTACTGAGCCATGATAATGAATGCACCATCGGTACATCCCATGTGGATGAGCCTTGAAAGTATTTTACAAAGCAAAATAAACTACATGTAAAACATCACATGTTGTGTGATTCTATTCAGATTAAATGTCCAGAATTGGCAAATCCCAGAAGATAGTGTATTTGTGGTTGCCAGAGCTGGGGAGAATGGTGGGAATATGCATTGTTTTGGTTGTAATGAAAATGTTATAGAATTAGATATTGGTGGTTGCACAATCTTGTGAATATATTACATTGTACATATACTTTAAAAGAAATTTTGTGCTGAGTGGATTCTATAATCAAAACCAAAATAGTATTTGAATGTTAAGAATTGTTCTAAAATTGTAAATTATAATTATTTCTGGTCATATTCAATTATCATATTTAATTACCTCCTAAACTTCTTATTAACCTTGCACTAAATGACAGCAGATTTTGTTATGTTAAATTTTAGGTGTATAAAAATGTAACTGCTTTTAAAAACATTTTTACTTCATTTGAAAGTTAGAGATCTCCCACTGTTGGTTCACTCCTCAAGTGCCTGGAACAGCCATGGCTAGGTCAGGCCAAGCAGAGCCAAGAGCCTGGAACTCAGTCCAAGTCTCCCAAGAGCAGAGTGTGCCAGGAACCCAGCAGCCCGAGTCCCCACTTCCTGCCTCCCAGGCTACATAGCAGCAGGAAGTGAGCCCCATAGTATGATATAGGATGCCAAAAGACAAGTTTTCTTTTTAAAGATTTATTTATTTGAAAGAATTACAGAGAGAAAGGAAGAGAGAGATCTGGTTCACTCCATAGATGGCTGTGTGGGCCAGGGTTGGGCCAGGCCAATGCCAGAAGCCAAAAGCTTCTTGTGGATCTCCCATGTGGGTAGGAGAGGCCCATGTGCTTGGACCATCTTCTCCTGCTTTTCTAGAACTGGATCAGAAGTGAAGCAGCCAGCACAGATCCATTGCCCATATGGGATGCCAGCATCTCAGTCAGCGGCTGTACCTGCATGCCACTTCACTTGCCTGTCAAGTGCCATCTTAGCAGCTTAAACCAAAAAAAAATAGTATTTTTTTGAAAGTCAGCCTGCTTCCTTACCCCTACCAGTTGGTCATTTTTTAAGATATGTATTTTAATATCACATGTATAAAAGTGAACAATTCAAAAACTAAAAATGATATCTGCCAACTGGCTTAATAAGGAAAATGTTCTGACTTACTTGGAATACCATTTGTCCCCTCCTGTCTCAGCCACCTGCTTCTCCCTGCTGCCGAAGGCGTTAAACTGTTGAAGCTCTTTTCTCCAAGGCAAGAGCTGTCTTGTCATCTTTTATTTGCACTAACCTTGGTTAACAAATGGAATGTGCTCAGTAAGTCATTAGAAAGTCATGTTGTTGAAATGGCGCAGAGGAACAGGCATGTTCCTTCGCCGGCTCATGCCCGTCTGACGCAGTGTGTATTACCCACTGAAGCTCCCTTTGAACTTGGTTAGGAGGAAGCCTTTAGGCATTTGTCTGCCCTTTCTAACTTGCCCTTTGTCCTCACTTGGAGAGTTGTTCTGAACAGCCAGCAGTGCTAGGAGTGCTGAATTGGGGGTGGGGCTAGGAAAGGAAGAAGATGTGATCAGTCCTTAAGTGAATTGGTAAATCTCTTATTTCTAGTTATAAATTACTTTGCTGTGGATATCAGAACATGGGAAATGTCAAAGTCACAGGTTCGATTCGATCTTCTGGGACTTATTTCTTATCTTGTTAATCATCAGGAAAAGAAGTTTTATTACTGATGCAAGCCCTAAACACCCTTTCAACCCCAGAGGAGAAGCTGGCAGCTCTCTGTAAGAAATATGCTGATCTTGTGAGTATAAATCAAGGCACAAGGACATTGTCAAATACAGCAGAGTGTGTGTGTGCTTGAGAAACGTTTAACATACAGGTTTGATACAGCTTTCAATGTAAAATTATATTTGATTCCAAAATTGAATGGATGGATTTGATTTGTTTGGGGCTTTTGCCAGTTGCGTACTTGTATTTTCCAAGATTATATGTAGTGAACCTTATAATGCTAAGATGTGGCATAGATTGTCTAAACTCAGTTGCGAATTCTCAGTGAGCCTCTTCACTGCCGTGTGCTGATGGTAGATGTCACTGGGGGGGAGGAGTTGCTGTACTTACCAGATAAAAACTGAAAGCATTTCGATTGAAATTGTTAGATGAAATAGTCTATTAAAATAATAGTTACTATTTTGGAAAATATTGTTTAACATCTACTATGTGCCACGCATGCTTTTCCGCATCTTCCGAAGAAATTGACCTCATCAAAGAGTTTATTCTGGGCCTGTGTTAATTCAAGTAGTATGAATTATCAACCTGGAAGCCCTGGCACCCCATTTAAGTTGAAGAATGGGAAAATCGTAGAACTTTTTGAATGAAAGGTTGAGGAGAACTTATAGAATAAGTGGCTATGATTACTGCCGTCTGTGACGTTTTAGGCAAAGCGTTGTCAGTTGTGTTTTCACCTGTTATTTATTTTCTTGCAAAGGCAGATATACAGAGAGAAGGACATACAGAAAGATCTCTCGTTTATTGGTTCATTCCCCAAGCAGCTGCAATGGCCAGTCCTGAGCCAATCCAAAGCCAGGAGCCAAGAGCTTCCTCCAGGTCTCCAACTTGGGTGCAGGATCCTAAGGCTTTGGGCCGTCCTTGACTGCTTTCCCAGGCCACAAGCAGGGAGCTGGATGGAAGTGGAGCAGCTGGGACTAGAACTGCTGTCCATTTGGGATTCTGGCACTTACTAAAGCAAGGATTTAGCCACTGAGCCATCGTGCTGAGCCCCTGGGTCTGCATTTTGCCAAGCTTCATTTAGTGATGTTGCCAATCCTTGGACACTACTTTTAGTGGCAAGGATGTAGAGTGTTTGTGGCTTTTAATTTGTCTGTGTGTGTGTGTGTGTTTGAGAGAGAGAGAGAGCGAGCGCGCGCGCGCAAGCAGGCATTGTGATGAATAGTCTCCGTAATGTAGTTTTGTACTGAACGTATGAGAAATGGAGCATGTACTATTTTCTGAAAGTGTTTTAGTTGTATTTCTTTAAGCAACACTTTGCTTAAAACATGGCAAATAGGTTATTCAGCTGCGAGAACATTGAGGCAATAGCCTTTTCAAAAATTTGTTCCATAATCTCTCTTCTGCCTTCACTATGTTTAGCTGCCCTTTTGTGATACTGTCACCTTACATCAGGGGACTTGTGTTGATTTTCATAAAGCTTCTGTGGAGCAGATGGGATGGAGCTCTGTGTGTTGTAGGTGGGGCAGTCCCTGTGGTCGTCACATGGAATAGGTGGTACTGGCTCGTCACAGTGTGTATGCTGCTAGTAGGTGTGGATACCGTTAACGCCATTAAGCACTTTATCACTATTCTTTCCCCTTCTTTAGTCAGTGTGTGGAGCTTATTATAGTGCAATGTAAATCATTATTAAGGCTTTATTTTTTAAAGCTTTCTTTTTATTGCAAAAGCAGATTTAAAAAAAAAATATTTTGATTGGAAAGTCAGATATACAGAGAAAAGAGACAGAGAGGAAGATCTTCCTTCTGTGGATCACTCCCCGAGTGGCGGCAGTGGTCGGAGCTAAGCTGATTTGAAGCCAGGAGCTTCTTCCAGGTCTCCCACACGGGTGAGGTCCTAAGGCGTTGGGCCGTCCTCGACTGCTTTCCCAGAGCACAAGACCACAAGCAGGGAGCTGGATGGGAAGTGGAGCAGCCAGGAGACGAACCAGCATGTGTGTGGGATCCCAGCACTTACAGGGGAGGATTAGTCAATTCAGCCATCATGCCAGCCCTGTAATGTGTAAATCTGTTTGAATAATGTGAATATCTGGGTAGATACTGTCTTTTTAAAAAAGATTTATTTTATTTCTGTTTGAAAGATAGGTCTGCTAGTTTTGCCCCAAATGACTCTTATGGCCTGAGCTGATCCCATCTGAAGCAAGGAGCCAGGAGCCAGAAGCTTCTTCCAGGTCTTTCATGTGGGTAGAGGGTCCCAAGGCTTTAGGCCGTCCTCTAGTGCTTTTCCCAGGCTATAGGCAGGGAGCTGGATCAAAAGTGGAGCAGCTGGGACCTGAACCTGCGCACACATATGGGATGCTCGTGTTGCATTGGAGGATTAGCTTACTATGCCATGGCTCTGGACTTTATATCATTCTCGTTTTTGTCACAAATGTCTTGTTAATTCCCTGCTCTTTATAACTCTTAGGCTCATCTTAGTTCCTGGGAATGAGAGTTGGCGGGGACAACATTCAGGATTTCATAGAATTTATAGAAGGCTTGGGTTGTGTAATGTGGATTGTCATTCTTATGACAAAGTGATTAAGCTTACAGGGAAAGAATCAGTCTTGCTATTTGCAGTTAGCATTTCCACATAGATTAAAAACTTAATTGTCAAAAATTAAACTTCAAAAATCTTAGATTGTTTAGATGTATTAATGATTTCTTACAGTATCAGAAGTACTATCAAAGATCAAATTAATTGGCTTTATTTAATAAATTAAGAATCCGCTTCATCAAAAGTAAAGTGAGAAGATACTATAAACTGGTGGAGCATACTTCCAGCAAATGTCACCATCAAATTTAGTATCAAGAATAGCTGTTATTTTTAAAAAGATTGAGTTGAATGACAGACTGACAGATAAAGACATCTCCCATCCTGCTTTGCTCCCCAAGTAACGGTGACATCGAGCTTGGAGCCAGGCCACAGCCAGGAGCAGCCAGGAAGACGCTCTGGGCTCCCTGTGGGGGCTGGGCCCAGGGATTGGGCCAGCTTTGGCTGCCTTCTCCAGGAGCAGTCACAGGAAGTGTAATCACAAGTGAGGGGCGGCAGGATTCAGACTGGCACTCAGGGGGATATGTGTGCTGCGAGCTACATTTATCTATTTTTATTTGAAAGACAAATTTTTACAGAGGAAGGAGAGGAGGCTTCCTCTGGTTCATTCTCCAAATAGCCACGATGGCCAGAGCTGAGCTGATCCTGAGCTGGGAGCCTGGAGCCTCATCTGCATGTGCAGCTTTGTTGCAGGGTCACAAAGACTTGTGCATAAGCAGACCATAAGCAGAGAGCTGGATTGGAAGTGGAACAGCTGGGCCATGTACTGGTGCCCATATGCGATGTTGGCAGTTGTAGGTAGATGATTGGCTTACTATACTGCAGTGCTGGCCCTATTGCAAGTTGCATCTTAACCCACTTTGCCACAGTGGTGTATCAAAGCATCAAGAATACATGGAGGGTATCAACAAATGAATAATAATAATTAAAAAAACCCAAATAACTCAGTGGAAAGCTGAGCAAGAGACATGAAAGAGGCATTTTGTAGATGCAGAAAAACAAAGATGCAGAGATTATGTCCTGACATACAGGCCCATAAACACAGAGTGAGATTTTGTGAAATAAGATTATTAAGGAAATGAAAATTATAGCCACAGGTGACCTTATGTCACTGCAGTGTCATGATTAGAAAATCTGCTTATCCTGGATTTTGGAGAAAATGTGGCTCTATGTAATCTTTTTTGCGTTGTTGAGAATATAAATTTGCCAGCCACTTTGGAAAATAGTTTAGGGGGTCATTTGAAATTGGACCTGCTGAAATCATTGCCCAGTGCAATCCCACTGTTTGTAACCAGGAAAAAAATTTTTTTTAATTTTTATTTTGATTTTTTGATTTTTATGGTACAATTTTGTAGATTGGGATTCCCTCGCAAACTCCCACTCCCTGAGAAATTTTTTAACATACATACCAGGAAACACCATGACTGCGTAACAACAAAACTTGGAACCGCCCCAAGTGTTGAGCGACCGAGGCTCTAGGCTGACTCAGCGGACATCTGATTTTGTGTTACCCTTAAGCTAAGACGTGGGTTTCAACAGCTTCTTTTTTCTTTAAACACAAACTCAAGGTAAATTTAATTGGAGAAAACATTCATTAACAATAAACAAAATTAATGCTTACTATTCTTTAAATGTCATATACATTATAAATATATACCGTGTATTTCCAATTAACTCCATTCTTAGGCTCAATTTAAGAAAAACTATTTTTTTTAAAGATTTATTTTATTTTTATTGGAAAGGCGGATATACAGAGGAGAGACAGAAAGGAACATCTTCGTCCGATGATTCACTCCCCAAGTGAGCGCAACGGCCGATGCTATGCCGATCCGAAGCCAGGAGCCAGGAACTTCTTCCGGGTCTCCCGCACGGGTGCAGGGTCCCAAAGCTTTGGGCCGTCCTCGACTGCTTTCCCAGGCCACAAGCAGGGAGTTGGATGGGAAGTGGGGCTGCCGGGATGAGAACCGGCGCCCATATGGGATCCTGGGGCGTGCAAGGCGAGGACCTTAACCACTGCGCCACCGCTCCGGGCCCAAGAAAAACAGTTTTAACAGCTTTTATACAAAAAATACTTCACTAAGAAAGAAACTACACAAAAACAGTACAAGTATAATGTGCATAGCAAAATAGCTTTAACTATCTATGTATGGCTGGGTTTTAACTTTTAAATGAATGTTTCTTAAATAATACGTAACAAAGACCAGATGTGATATGTTACTTTTATCTACAATCCAACAATGCACGTGAGTCCTAGCAATGTATTTATTGATCTTTATTTATTTTTATTGGAAAGGCAGATTTACAGAGAGAAGGAGATAGCCCCAAGGCCTTGGGCCACTTCTCGGCTGCTTTCTCAGGCCACAGGCAGGGAGCCAGATGCGAAGTGGAGCAGCCGGGACACGAACCGGCGTCCACATAGGATTCTGGAGCGTGCAAGGCAAGGACTTAGCCATTGAGTTATTGCACTGGGCCCAAGTCCTAGCAATATAATGGAGGGTTGCCACTGTTCAGGGTGAAAACTGTTAACCAGATCTGGCTGTTTCTGTTTAAATTAATGTAAATTAAAGTAAAAACAAAATCCTTCAGTTTTCATTAGCCAAAGGTGAAAAAGTCAAACTACAGACAGGTGAAATACAGTAACAAGGAAGCAGAGGCAGTCCGGAGGATGTGATACTGAGAGCCAGGGATGACAGCTACTTGCTCATGTGGAGGCTCAACCTTTTAAACTGTGCTGCCACCTGCCGTTCAAAGTCAGATTACAGCCCGATTATGCAGAAAGTTCTATACGAAATGCAGTGTATTTGTGTTTATTTTGGTTTTGATATTGTTTTCATAGTTGAGAGATACACACGCCCATGTGGAACTCAGATTAGGTGGGGGAGGTTCAGGAGGTGTAGTTATTTTTAATCTCTTGTAAACATTGCTAGAAAGGATGCCTGATACTTTCATTGACCACAAGATGGCATTCTTGCTCTTGAAATTGTGACTCAGCATCATTTTTCTTGATCTGTGAAAGCCTTGTTGAAAGGTTAGTATGGCTGCCATCTTATCTGTTAGTGTTGATTTGACCTTGAAATGGACTCATTTGTTCCAAATGTAGAACTGCGGTCATAGAATAAAACCCTGTGAGTATGGCTGAGGTTTCAATTCTGATGTCTTTCAGTGCAGTAACCTACGGGTGTTATTTTAGCAAAATGCAACTTCATGGTTTTGATTCCTAAAACATTAGTGTTTGTTTAAATTAGAATTGGAGCACAAACACACCAAACCTGTATTCTGTATTTGAATTTCAGCAGATAAAAGCAGGAACTACTAGACAGACGTTGACCTACCAAACAGCAATTCAGACTATACCTATTCAACGTTAGAGTCGGTCTGAACTGGAGCAGGACTTAGTTCAGAATAACTGGGTACCATTGCCAGCAGGCATCACCCAGCTGAAGGGCATCATCAGTTCAGAAGTAGGACTGTGGCTTGAAATTGAGGCCCACACACTGCTGAGAGTCACTGTGTTGAGACAGGCCAGGTGGTCAAGCGGAGGCGCCGGGCAGTGTGGGAGTCAGGCCTGCGGGTGACCACGGCCACTTGCTCTCAGTGCACCCCCCGCCGCACGAGTACAGTCTGGGGTGGCTTTGTAATCTCTCGGGGCTGATGCATTTGTTCCATACAACCTGAGTAATGGAGTTGTTATTAAACATATATCTAAAGGTTAAGAAAGAATGTCAAGTCTTTTCCCCATTATCGCAAGTTTACTTATTTTTCTGTCACAACTGGAAGGGACAGAGGGTTGGTGGTGTGCTGTGGCATGAAAGAACTTGAGTAAAGTATTACACTGCAGCTTCTGGTTTTTTAAAAATGTGTTTTGATAGTTCTTAGTGTAGTTGCTCCAGCCAGACCTGTGGGGTTTTTCTTCTTCCTAAATAAAAAGTGCTTGTCAATTTTAGCTGGAGGAGAGCAGAGCTGTTCAGAAGCAGATGAAGATTCTGCAGAAGAAGCAAGCCCAGATCGTGAAGGAGAAGGTCCACTTGCAAAGTGAACACAGCAAGGCCATCTTGGCGAGAAGCAAGCTGGAATCTCTGTGCAGGGAGCTGCAGCGCCACAACAAGAGCTTAAAGGTTAGTTGGCTCGGCTGAAGTCTTGCAGGTGAGGCTTAACTGCTTTATAATCACCTTGGATGCGCTAGAAGGAAATCCCTTCTCTGTTCGGAGACAGAATTACTACCCACTCTGTTCGGCTTGGGCTGGTGGCTGATTTGAGGCCTTCGTAAATGGGAGGTGAAGCTTGGCGTTTTATGCAACGAAAGCCCTTGGGTGGTCACAGGGCCCGAGGGTGCTTATACCCACAGGTGGCATAGGAAGCCCCATGCCGCCAGTTGTCTGTGAGCGCTGCGTATTGAGAGTTGTTAGGAAGTGAGCCACTGGGAAGCGACCGAGTCAGGAGTCCGAGAAGGGGCTAGTGCTGAGATCTCGCCTGCGTCACAGGCTGCACTGTGCATGTCTCCTGGAGTACTGATATTTTCATTTTTTTAAACTTTTAATTTGCTTTTCTATTTTTATATGCTTGAGAGAGACGGAGATCTTCCATCCATAGATTCCCTCCACAATACCCGTGCTAGCCAGGCAGCAGCCCAGCATCCCGTATGGGTCCCCTTTCCATAGGGCATCAGGACTTGGGTACCTGATTTAGTGTCCACTGCTGCCCTGCATGTGCGCTAGGTATTTGAGAATAGCATTTACACCTTGGTTGAGTATAAAGGAAGGGGAACAGGGACCTGAAGATAAATTGTACTGAGCAGGGAAGAAAGGAGAAAGAGCAGTCACTGGAAGGAATGTGTCAGAATGGGTGGGCTTGTCCACATGCAGGCTCTCCAGTCAAATCCCAACCTTACCCCTCAACCTTCGAGGCCATGGAGTCTTTGCCTTTGAAGCTGTAAATTTCCCTTTGTTTTTGAACCCTTAGATCTAGATCTAAATTTGGTGGTATTTTTTTCCCAGTAGCAAATCAGTGTTTTAAGTGAAATGATAACTGTTTGGTCATGCAACGGTCTTTTGACAATTGTACCCTAGCAGGAGTTGCGAGCAAGCTTTCCACAATAAAGATTTCATTTGTTCCTTGCCCCTTGGGGTGTGGAAAGCATGAGCCAGAGTCTGCTAGCCAGGAAGGAGCTGTGCTGGAGAAGCTCCGGCCTTGTGTTGCGCTGCAGTGCGTGTTGGATAACCATATGACTTTTATAGTAGGAAAGTTTGTTTCTGTACCATTTTCTGCTTAGGCAGAGGTGCTTGCCTTTAAATGAGAGCCTTTTAGTCCTAAGCTAGGGGCAGAAGCAACATTTGGGGCTGCAAGAAATGAATGTGTATTGCAGCAGCAGCAGCTTTGCGAGCATCCTTGCGCCAAGATGATTAACACAAATTGTTTTGGATAATAAGGATGAAAATGTGCAGCAGGCACGAGAGGAAGAAGAGCGGCGGAAAGAAGCAACTGCACATTTCCAGATAACCCTGAATGAAATCCAGGCGCAGCTGGAACAGCATGACGCCCACAACGCCAAGCTCCGCCAGGAGAACATCGAGCTGGGCGAAAAGCTGAAGAAGCTCATCGAGCAGTACGCGCTCAGGGAAGAGGTACCAGGGCTTGGCTTGCAGGAGCGAAAACGTCACCCTCACTAGGCGCATCCCACGGGGTCGGTAATGCCCTGGAGAGGTGCTGTCCCTCCGCTCTGATCCCGCTGCACCTCAGCAGGTCGTTAACGGGGATTCTATACTGTTAGAGAGCAAAACAGAGCCTCTTCTTCCGTAGCACGCGCACCGGTATGAAGTGCAGACTCCATTGCTGCTGCACTTGCTCCTTGGCCTCCAGTTAAGACTTGAGTGTATTGTTTTACAGAATTTTCTATCTGGAAGGGTTCTCTTTCTACAACTGAAAAATGATGTTGTTCTGATGGCTTTATCACTCATACATAGCCAGTTAACAGTTTGGTTTGGAAATGCCAGTAGGCTTTTAGTAAATGTCCAATGTGTACCAGGCACCAGGTACTTTACGCAGTTTAACCTCTGCTTCCATTATGAGCCTGCGAGGTAGACGTGGCCGCTGTGGTACGGATGACAACACTGGACGGGGTTTGACCAGCTCTGTCATCTTGTTGCCAGCTGAGAGATTTGGGACAATTTGATGGAGAGAATAAAGAAGTAATAGGTGGCTAGTGTATGAGTTTACTGGTTGGCTCTCCTTGCCCGGCTGTGCGTTTGAGTAAGTGCCGCGCTGGTGGTGCAGGGGGCCCTGCTCCTGCAGAGGGTTCACCGGGTGCCCCTTCCTCGAGCTCGGGCCAGGGCAGCGTGCCACGGCGCTGGTTGCGGTCGTCAGAAGGCTGAGGGGGCCTCGTGGCTGCGCTGCTGCTTCCCGGGTGTGTTCCTCTTCACTAGGTGATTAAAGGAGTTGTGCTTCCCCCATAGCATATCGATAAGGTTTTCAAGCACAAGGAACTGCAACAACAGCTCGTGGATGCCAAACTGCAGCAGACGACACAGCTAATAAAAGAGGCTGATGAAAAGCATCAGAGAGAGAGAGAGTTTGTAAGTTCTGTTCCTTACAGTTATTACCAGAGTTGTAACCGACGCCATTTAAAACATGCAAGTTTGTTCTAGTTTACCTGTGACGCAGCACACACGGCACGCTGGCTGCTCTGCTGGGCTGGGTGTTGGAAAGCAATCGGCTGTTTTTAATTTTTTATGCAAAAAAAGAATTTGGAGGAACTAAACAAATTCCTAGAAAGACCTGTACTTAGAATACTTTTTGGGTAATCATCATCTGTTCAAGAATTGGCAATGGTGCAGCGCGTCAGCGTGGTGGGTCAGTGGAATGGCAAGCTCACCGGAGCGCTCCCATGCACAGTCGGTCACGTTTTGCCTTTAAACAACAACTTGGAACTAGGGAAACCACTTGTTTTCTTACTCTGGTGTCATTCGTCCTTGGCTAAAATACCAACAGAGCTCCAGACGCTCCAGGCTTGGCATGGCAGCCCCGGTGCACACACAGCCTGTATGGCGTGTCAGGGACTTGCATGTAGTGCAGTCCCACTGGGCACGTTTATTTAAGATGCGCAAGTTCAGCTCTGTGTTCTTAGTTAAAGGAATAATCAATGTGCAGATGACACTCCGGCGGCCTGCGCCCTCCCTGGTGGCCGTAGCAGAGTCTGTGCTGCTTCTGCTCGCTGCCTGCTCCTGCTCAGAACGAGGCCTCCTGAGGGACTAGCCAGTTTTCTTAAAAAATTTTTTTTGTAAAAGATTTTTTTATTTGAAAGGCAGAGTTAGAGAGAGAGGAGGCAGAGGAGAGCTTCTGTCCACTGGTTTATTCCCTGAATGGCTGTAATAACTGGTCCAAGTCCCAGAGCCCGGAGCTTCTTCCGTTCTTCCGGGGCTCCCACATGAGTGTCGGGGCGAGGACCAGGGCCACCTCCCACTCACTACCCTCCCAGGCCCATCAGCAGCCATGATGTCAGCTGGCACCTGTATGTGATGCTGGCACCACTGCACTGCCCCCATGATGGCTTTTAATAGTCAGATCTTTGTATAGGGACAAACACCAGTGCCCAGTGGTTAAATGAGGGTATGGCTCCACATTTCCAAAGTTGAGGGCTACATTTGATACACACAGGTCCATGTGTGTTACTGCACATCTGATTCTGGCTGGCATTCTTTGAACTATGTGCAGCAGTTACTTTAGGGACTAAATGTTACAGGTGCCTACTACACAAATTTGCCACAGATTTTTTTTAAAGCCTTGAGTAGATAAATTAGAAGCTCCTAACTTGTCTCTCCTGCTTTTCAAAAAAATTATTTTTACTTGAAAGGAAGAGAGATAGGGAAATTTTCCATCTGCGCATTCACTCAAATGGCCACAGTGGCCAGAGCTGAGCTGATCAAGAGCCAGGAGCCAGGAGCTTCTTCCAGGTCACCCATGTGACTGTAGGGTCCCAAGGCTTTAGACCATTCTTGATTGCTTTCCAGGCCACAAGCTGGATGGAAAATGGAACAGCCAGGACTAGAATCAGCCCCCTTTTGGAATGCCAGGTGGTAGAAGCAGAGAATTAACCTGTTGTCCTCCCTTGCTTTTTAAAAATTTGAAAGAGTTACAGCGAGAGAGGAAGACACACACAGAGATGTTTTCCATCTGCTGGTTTCCTCTGCACGAGGTGCGAGAGCCGGGGCTGGGCCAGGGTGGAGGTGCAGTTCCATGCAGATTCCTAGGTGGGGCAGTGCTCCAACACTTGGTTTCTGCTGCTTCCCCAGGCATGGTAGCTGTGTCTGAAGTGCAGCAGCCAGGATTGGAACTGGCCCCAGAATGGCTGTGCTTCGCACCATACTTTTTTTTTTGTTTGTTTCTTTGTTTAAAAAAATTATTTTTATTGCAAAATCAGATATACAGAGAGGAGGAGAGACAGAGAGGAAGATCTTCTGTCTGATGATTCACTCCCCAAGTGACTGCAATGGCTGGTGCTGTGCCAATCTGATGCCAGGAGCCAGGAACTTCTTCCAGGTCTCCCAAGTGGTGCAGGTGCAGGGTACTAAGGCTTTGGGCCGTCCTCCACTGCTTTCCCAGGCCACAGGCAGGGAGCTGGAAGGGAAGTGGAGCTGCCAGGATTAGAAACAGCACCCATACGGGATCCTGGCATGGTCTAGGCGAGGACTTTAGCTGCTACGCCACTGCACCAGGCCCGCACCGTACATTTTGATCTTGTCTAACCTTTTGAGAATAGAGGGTCTCCCACCTGGATAAACAAGATTCCAGTCTTGTTAATCTGCTAGTTACCAGACAAGTGTTTTCATCTAAAACACTACTTAATCCTGAGTTTTCTAAATTCTTGTAGTCCTTCAAGGTACTTTGTTTCAGGTTGACCAGTGGAAGATGATTATTCCTAAGTATTAATCAGTATTAAAAGGTCAAAGAAACAGGCAGTTGATGGCATTTTGTATTTGGATGAGTGGTTCCTGCTAGGGGAGGGTGGGCTGTACTGTGCTCATTTGAGTTATTCATTTTTGTAACTAGTATGAGTATTTTGCCAGAATGTTTCTGTTTTCTAGTTATTAAAAGAAGCAACAGAATCAAGACACAAATATGAACAAATGAAACAGCAAGAAGTACAACTAAAGCAGCAGGTAACTTCACAGCAGGGCATAGAATTCATAGGGAAAAGCTGTGCTTTATTATCTGCATACACTCCAAGCTCCTCCCAGATGGGCTTGTGTGTGCCTGCGCTGGTCAAGGCCGAGCGCGGAGGTCGGCGACGCGTTGGCATGGCTGGTCACCCTGCCTTCAGTGTCTGCCTTCCCAGGGTCCCCAGTGCTTGCTGCCTTTGCCAGTCGCCTTTCTGTCTAGCAGAGCCAGAGTGGACATGTGCACACTGCAGTTCTTTTGTGTCTTATAAAATGCTCAAGAAACCAAGGTGGACTTCGTTGATAAACAAAATGACATTTTTTTTATGGTTGACTGTGGTATCTATTAGCTTTATAATTGTGTGCTTTGAGCACCTAACCGGTTTTTTTTTTTTTTTTTTTTTTTAAGATTTACTTATTAATTTGAAAGGCATAGTTAAACAGAGGGAGGGAGGGCGGGAAGCAGAGGACCTCTCGCAGCTGCTGAAACAGCTGAAGCCAGGAGCTTCTTTTGGGTCTTTGTTATGGTGACAGGGACCCAAGCACGTGGGCCACCGTCAGATGCTTTTCCCAGGCTATCAGCAGACAGGGACCCAAGCACGTGGGCCACCGTCAGAGCTTAATTGAAGTGGAGCAGTCAGGTCTCTAGCTTATGCCCATATGACACGCTGGCGTTGCATATGGCAGCTTTTCTTGCAATGCCACCACCCTACCACTGTTTCAGTCCAGACCCCATTTGTGTCCAGTTGTATTCTGTATGCCATGGGGTGAGAGTAGCAGGTCCCATTTCCTTAGCCAAAGGAAAAAGTATATGGGAAAGAATCTCGCTGTCTCCTGAGAGGTGTCCTTCTGTGTTTGCATCTGTAATCACCCTTTCCAATGAACTAGATTGCATGTGTTACCTTCCTAAGTTTGGCATGTGTTTGCTTCATTTGTACAGACACTGAAGCAGTTCGAAAGTCCCTGCTCCACATTAGCAATGTGCTGGTCCTGCCTGTGTCCCTTTACTTCAGGAACAGTTCACAGAGTGGTGCTGTTACTGCCTGTAAAGCTGGCCTAACAGCAAAAACTCCAGAGGCAGCAGCTAGCAGAGGCCTGGGGTACATAGGACATCCGAGCCCCTTACTAGTCCTGTATGTTCAGTTGTCCATAGATAGCTTCTGAACACATGCTTTGGATGGGGGCCCCTCTGGTGCCGTAGGTCACTGCAGGGCCTTGGACCAAAGCCACAGGCCAACTCCAGTTCTCTGAAGTTGTGCCACTGTGATTGACTTCTGTCATGTGTGCAAGCTGTTCTTCGTAAAGATTTGTTTGTGTGAAAGACAGTTACAGTGAGGACCAGACCGAGAGATCTGTTACTCCCCAGATGACTGCCACAGCCAGGGCTGGGCCAGGCTGAAGCCAGCTTCCTCCAGGTCTTGCATTGTGTGTTCAGGAGCCAAACATTTGGGTCATTTTCTGCCTTCCCAGGCACATTTGCAGGGTGTTGGCTCAGAAGGGAGCAGCCGGATTGCAGCTGGTGCCCACGTGCAAAGCCGTTGCCACTGTGCCAGCCCCCAGAATAGTTTCCAACAATTTATTTTCTAAATACATTTGGGGGACAGAAAAAGAGCTCCCATCGACTGAATTAGTCCCATTTACGTCAGCAGTGATCACAACTGGTCCAGGCTGAAGGCAGAAGCTAGGCTAGCAGAGTGCCATGCGCTTGAGCCATTCCCTGCTCTCTGAGCCCTGGGGTGCTCTGGAATCGGGGTGCTGCAATGGAAGCTTTTAGCCAGCTCAGCCATGAATCACACACCCAGCCTAAACTTTTTTTAAAAAGATGTATTTATCCAAAAGGTAGTTCCTTAGAGGGAGAGAGCTAGTGACCCTGCATCCGCTGGTTCATTCCCCAAATGGGGGCAAAGGGTGGCGTTCACCCCAGATGAAACCAGCGGTTAGGAACTGTAGCCAGGTCTCCCACATGGGTGCAGGGACGCATCTTCTTTCCTGGGTATAGTAGCAAGGAGCTGGATGCCAACTTTGCCATCCAGTACTTCAGCCAGCCCCTACCCTAAAGCTTCTTCCCATTTTCCATGAGCCTTTCTGATGCACATTTAAATTCTTTGATTTTTCTCCCCTAATCTCTTTGCCTTGGTGCGGCTAAACATACATATGTAAATGCAAAACAGTGATGAGTGCATTCAGGGAGAATAGGTTCAGCTCGTGGCAGTACAGAGTGAGCTGCCCGAGAAACACACCTCGGGAGGCAGCTGTCTGCCGGCTGCACTGCTCCATGACGAGGCCCAGGCCCTCCTCTCTCCGTGCATGCTTTGGCTGCCTCCTAGCTTGCAGTCAACTTCTGCCTTGTCTCCAGCAGTGCCCCCAGCTCCTGACACCTGATCCCTGTCCCAGGTCAGGTCTGGGCCCGTCGTGCCTCATGCTGCTGTTGCTCATCTTAGGTTCTTCTGCGCTTTTCTCCATGTTTGTGTGATATTGGTTAAATACTTGATTGCTCTTTCTGCATCACAACAGTGTTAGTCCCTGAAAGGTTCCCTCCTGAAATGAAATGGACCCTGTGCCCTGAAGCCTAGCTCGGGCTGAGCCATGGAAAGTGGCCCCTTGTCTCCCGCCCCCATACCTCGGAACCCTTGATCTGAGTGAGAAGGTGACTGCCTTTCCGGTCATCTGTCTCATTGGTTAGCGTGTTTTCCTCATCTTGAATAAAAATTCCTTAAAAGTAGAAGGTTGAAAAAAAAAATGGTTTCCTACCTCTTCAAAATATTTATTTTATCATCTACTGGGAAAGGGTGGTTAACGGCGTGGAGGGGAAGAGGGGCCCAGGGCTGGGTGAGGCCAGAGCCACGAGGCAGGCACGGCCGGCTGGAGCCCTCTGCGGGGAAAGCAAAGCAGCTGCGCCTTGCAGCCCGATAGCGAGCTGCCGGCAGCCCGGGCACGGCTTAGCTGCCTGGGCCTCCACGTCCACCTCAGAACGTTTTCAGCCTTTTTCTGTTTCCCCAATGAAAGCAGTTCTTTGCTGCCTTAGCCATCTTTCTGCCTGTATCAGGCAGCGTGGCCTTGCTGTGACTGTTGTCAGATAACAGAGGGCCGCCTCCCTGGCCGCCGCAGGCCGCGGAGTAAAGGGCAACACCGCGTTCCGTAGACTGTTCTAGAGTTGATGGTGGAGCTGAGTTGTGACGTGTCACCTCGGCTTGCTGTGACTTTTCACTGTAATACACAAGGATTGGTGTGCATATGCTTTCTGTCATGAGTTAATTACATTCACTTCAAAGTTTGGGCATTTGAATTATTTACCTGGAACTTAGAATATTTCATACTTTTTTTTTCTGTAGCTTTCTCTTTATATGGATAAGTTTGAAGAATTCCAGACTACGATGGCAAAAAGTAATGAACTGTTCACAACCTTCAGGCAGGAAATGGAAAAGGTATTTGCATGCTTTTAGGAAAATATTACATAAAAGGAAACTTCTCCAAGAATCTGTTTTCAGCGTGATTGTTGACGACTACCTGAGCCCGTACAGTTGACCCCTCTCCATGCCTGGGCCTTGCCTGGACACTGCTCTGCCACTCTAACCCTGTGCTCCCAGTGGCCCGTGGCCCCTGCTCCGTGGGTTACAGATGTAGCGGTGGGGCTGGCTCTTGTGGCTCCTGTCGCAGAGCCCTGTGGCCTTGGAGCTCGGGTGGCTGCGTCTTTGGGCAGTAGAGCTTGAGCTTGTTGGAGAGATGGCTAGATGTTGCTGTTTCTGCCTTTTTATGATTTTTTTTCTCTGACCTTTGCTCCTATCGAATTCTTTCCCGCAACCACACCAACTCTTGGGCTTCTGCTTCATTTTCTTGCCTAAATTAAAGGGACGCAACATCTTGCATAGCCAATGAAGAACCAAAATATATAATTCTATCCATAAATTTTAAGTGTTTTACTTCCTGTCTTGCATTTAAAAGGTGGGGGAGTAGAGTTAAAAATGGTGTTGGCTCAGAGCAAGGCCAGTAGTACCTGGCACTTGGTAAGTGTCCAGCAGCTGTCACTCTGCTGTGGCCATAGAACACCTTTCTGAGCCCTCGTTGTTAAACACGGTAAGAACACCCTGGCCCTTCGGGACACGGGAGTTCCAGTAGCGCTTGGCATAGTATTATCATGTACCCAGTTAGCATGCTGAATGGTGCTCAGGTTACCAGCTTCAGGTATTTTTAGATCTAGCAGTCTGGAGAATTCCATGAGCAACAGATCAGTGCTGCCCGCCTGGCCTTTCAGTGGAAGTTTCAATTGAGGGACAGCGTCAGGCACAGCTACAGGCTCCCTAGCACATGCGCACAGTGGAGCACGGGTGTGTTCTGGACAGTCCCAGTGTGCCGTCTGGCTGCGGAATCTGCGACTGGAATGCGTGCGTGCCGCTTTGGAGCCATGGCTGCAGATTGCCACGGCTCAGCACACCATGCAGACCTGTCCGCAGCTCTGGCCATGGCCTTCAGCCCCCAGCCCCTGTGTTAGTGTGGTGGGTGATTACCTAAGCATGGGGCATGGTCCTGGCTGTGGAGCAGAGCTGGGGCAGTCAGCAGTAGAAACAGGAATAGAGCACATGGCTAACTGATGCCAGACCTAAAGCTCACCACACATTTTCTAAAAGGGGGTTCTGGTAGCATAGATTTGCAGGTGCCCTCCTGATTCTTGGACCCTGTTTGTGTGTGTGGTGGGATGAGCAGAGCATGCAGGCTGTTTTTTAGTATTTTCCGTGGAGCCTTGCTTTGGCCAGCTTGCCTTTAGTTTTGAAATCGTGTGGTTTCAGGGCGTGGAGGAGCGGCAATTCTTAGTCTTCAAGAATATGAAGAGGGAGTTGACTGTCCAGAAACCTCACGGGCACTTTATACAGCATGGGAAGGTGGCTCTGGCCATGCCAGCTGCCCGTCAGCCGTGGTGGCATTGGCAGTGACATGGCTGGTGGTTCCCTCTTTGCACTGCTACCTGAGATGACAACACTTGTCTCGTGTGACTCCCTGCGCGTGGCTGAGAGCACATGCACTCCCGTGGAGAGGGACACGGCGGTCAGTTGCTCCAGGCAGTGCTGGGCAAGGGAGGGACAGCACACCTTTTTGAGAAACAAGTGCAGGACTTGAATTTGCAATGTGTTGATTCACAGATGACAAAGAAAATTAAAAAACTGGAAAAAGAAACAATAATATGGCGTACCAAGTGGGAAAACAACAATAAAGCACTTCTGCAAATGGCCGAAGAGGTGAGTTGGTTTCCTGCAACTCAGCCCTGTGATTGCCATAAGGACATGTGCAGGTCCAGCCTGCGCTGGGCAGAGGACGTGGCATGGGCAGGGATGCCCAGTGAGAGCCGCTCAGGCTGAGCGCCAGGCTGACATGCTAGGTGTGAGCTGGGCAGGCAGGCAGTCACCATCAGAACTCACCAGCAGGCAACTGGGCTGCCTTGTCTTTTTTCTTTGTTTGTTTTTAAGATTTATTTTTATTGGAAAGGCAGATTTACAGGAAGGAGAGACAAAGATGGTCCATCTGGTGGTTCACTCCCCAAGGGACCACGATGAGCCGATCGCACACGGGTGCAGGGTCCCAAAGCTTTGGGCTGTCCTCGACTGCTTTCCCAGGCCACAAGCAGGGGGCTGCATGGGAAGCGGGGCTGCTGGGGTACGAACAGCACCCACTATGGGATCCCAGCACTTGAAAGGCGAGGATTAGCTGAGCCGTTGTGCTGGGTCTGTTTCTACCTTTTCAATAGACTTTTCCAAACAAATCAGAGAAATAATTTTTCCCATTCTTATAAGGTAATATTACATTGCTTGCCTTGAGTACATTTCATACCTGGGTAAATTTGAAAGCATTAATTTGTATTGCTTCACTAGAAAATTTGGGAATGCTTATATGGCAGAATTTGTTCTTGTCTAGAATTTGGTAGATGAAGTGGAAATCTGCGGACAAGGGAGTCATTTGTCCCCGGCCCTTGTGGGCCCTGGGGAGTGACAGAGGGAAGACCTGCTTTTCCTTCTCCTTAGCTGTATCTACATTTCAGGTAGATAACTGCAGCTGCTAGTCCGTGATGGTCTTTCCCAAGTGCTAGCTGTCTGCAAGGCGGAGTTCCCCTTGCAGTTGCAGCTGAGCCAGTACCAGGGCAGAAGCTGCTGCTAGGTCTCGCGTCCGGTGCAGGCGGTCCAGCACGTGGGCTGCTTTCCCGCACTCTGCAAGTGGCTGCTTAGCCCATCACACCACAGTGCCATCCGTGTTTGCTAAAACACCTTCAGTTTGCTTAACACTGTATTAGAACAAGAGACTTGACAAATTCAGTGAATTTAAATATGTGTGTGTGTGTAAAGCACTGGTTTTGTCTTATTGTCAAGGCAGAGTGATGAAATATCTGCTGCTGCTTCACCCTGCAGCGCCCAGCTGGGCGGCACGGGCCTGTGCTGGGGGCGTTATCTGTTCCCTTTCCAAGTAGACTACTGAGAGCTCAATCACGTGGAGTTGCAGGGCTTGTGCTGTGGCTCAGTTAGCTGATCCTCCAGCAGTCCAGCTTCCCAACCAGCTTGTGGCCTGGAAAAGCAGAGGAGCAAGGCCCAGCACCCTGGGACCTTGCACCTGCGTGGGAGACGCACAAGAATGCAAGAAGCTTCTGGCTTTAGATCGGTTCTCTGGGGAGTGAACCACGGATAGAAGTTCTTTCTCTGTCTCCTCTGTAAATCTGCCTTCCCAATTAAAAACACTATTTTATTTTTTTTAAGATTTATTTTTTATTGGAAAGGCAGATATACATAGAGGAGAAGAGACAGAGAGGAAGATCTTCCATCTGATGATTCACTCCCCAAGTGAGCGCAACAGCTGGAGCTGTACTGATCTGAAGTCAGGAGCCTGGAGGCTCTTCCTGGTCTCCCACATGGGTGCAGGGACCCAAGGCTTTGGGCCGTCCTCCACTGCTTTCCCAGGCCACAGCAGGGAGCTGGATGGGAAGCGGGACAGCAGGGACACCCACCCATATGGGATCCTGGCGCAGTTGAGTACTAACAGCTATGCTATAGCGCTGGGCCCAAGACCTTTTTAAAAAGTGGAGTTGCTAGGACTTGAATCAGCATGTCGGTATGGGACACAAGCATGATGGCAGGCTGAATTTGTTTAAGAAACATGACTAAGAGAAAACTTGCTTCATCCTAGAACAATCAGTGTACTACGTGTGTGTGCAGTGACGCCAAGAAAACATATCTAGTAGCTATTGAATATGCAGAAAGATACCGTCTCATGAGGTAAATCTTGTTTTTCTTTTCTTTTGCAACAGAAAACTGTCAGAGATAAAGAATACAAGGCCTTTCAGATAAAACTGGACCGGTTAGAGAAGCTGTGCAGGGCTCTTCAGACGGAAAGGAACGAGCTGAACGAGAAGGTGGAGGTGCTGAAGGAGCGGGCCTCCGGCCGGGCGGCCGACGGGGACTTGGCCATGCCCGCCAGGGGGCTGCGGCTGGAGGCCAGGCCGGGGGCGGGCAGCGCCGCACACCAGCCCCCCAGGCCGGCCCCTGGCGGGCCCGAGCCGGCCGACTAGCAGCCAGGCCCGGCCCGGATGAAGAGCTCTATTTTGTGTATCACTTTCTCTGTTAGTAGTTTAACTATTGGTTTTGTGGTGAAAATTTTCTTACTTTTTCTACCATATCTGTATTTTCTTAGAACTACTGGACTGATGTGGTACAGGAGGCTGATTAGCAGTTCTGCTGGATAGTTTTAATCACTTATTTTCCTCAAGTTGTGTTGCACAGCCACCTCATCTCTCCCTGGAATGCATGTACCCATTGCCACGTCCTCCCTTTCTGCTCTGCGCGCTCACCATAGGGCCAATTATCACAAGCGCATTTTGTTCTAATAATGGTTCCTTTTTGGAAAAATTAGAACAAAATTAAACATCTCAGCCCCATTGGTACTACTTTATAAAACAGATTACTCTGCTTAACAGCCACTTAAATGCCAAGTAAAAACGCTTGTGTTGGGTGAAGCAAGCAGAGCACGTGTGATTCAGATTATCACTTGACAAACTGAGATGGCTACAAGCCGTGACTCTCAAGTTTTGGCAGAATATGTGTACAGAGATGTCACTTGTACATGCAGACAAAGCACTGGACAAACAGGCTGGCTGCTGCTGCGACTCCACATGGTCCGCCACGTGGCGTTGGCCCCACCTGGCACTCACTGCCTGGGCATGGCAGTGTTGCCTTCCAGTTTGCATTCATAGGCTCCACTTCCCGCACGAAGCTGGTCATTCTGAAAGCCCCGCCCCGTGCTTAGAGCTTCCAATCCCTTGTGGCTACTTGACCGCTGCTGTCAGTTGTTCTAAGGCTTTCACCAGCAAAGTACCCCAAGTATTTTGAAAAGGGAACTTAAATTCAGTACTGTAGTACATGAAACTGCTTCCATCTTTAAAACACTGGAAAAAAGATTGATAGCTTTGGGAGTACCTGGCAGGATTTCTCGTGCTATTGTTCTGTTTCGCAGCACCTTCTTCCAAACTCCCCCAACTCCTGCCAGCCCGCAGTGTCACCCGAGGTCTCTACACTCGGAATGGGGGAAAGTTTGCAATGAAGCACATTAGCTCTTGACATTCTTGAACTTCCTTTTGCTTTTCTTTCTTCAATACCTAGCAGTAGATCGGTGATTCCTCAGGCTGCACCCAAGACTGGCCCTGGTGTACTTACATTGAAATATTTTGAACTGATGTTAGCACATTCCACAGAACAAGACTATCAAACTGATACTTGTTAAATTCCTTACTGGACTGAATAAACTCTTTTGTCCAGTTAAAAGGGGTTTTCTCTTTGCTAACAGCTTAAATTTGTAAAGTTCTGTCAGTCAGTGACTGACGATTGTCCAATAGCTAGCTTCCACCGTTAGTTATCAAGGGTCAGTAGGGGACAAAGGAAGTTACCTGTTCTGGCTGAAATGAGTTGGAAGCACAAATAAACTCTCCCACACTCTTGTAATACCCCAGACCCACCCACTTCAGCTAGCAGATGAAACACGGGACTCATTTCCTTGAAGGAAAGAAGGTGTATATTGCAAGTATTATCTACCTTAAAGCTAGCGCTAACCACATTTCCCGAGAACTCTGCTGATGTACAGCTCTTCACGTTTTAGCAAGCCATTCGTGTAACCCACCACGTTTCTTTGTGGTGCTTGTCCTATGTGGGAGATTGTAGATCTTGGACCTGTTGCATATTTGCAAGGGCTTTATAAAGCAACGTGACAGTACTTGGCCTGCTGCTTTTGGCTTGTTATGTGTTTTTAGGTAGATGCTTTCGTGATGTTTAAGAGGATATAGATTCTGTCTGGGATACATTTGGCATCCTTTCAGAATCCCCTCCCATTGCCCTGTGAATAAAAAATGGGACCCTCTAAGGAGGACACCCAAAACAAGCACCTCACAGGCCCAGTGTCGTGGCTTTTTGTAGCACGCCCATATTCTAAACACTGTAATGCTACTAAGGCTGGCCCAGAAAAGTTTTAAATGTTGAATTCACTTACATGGCATTTGTTGCACCACCATGGAATCTTCGATGTGTGTTATTTATAGTGGCAGTAGACTCCAAGGCGTAGCAGAAACTTGGGTCTGGGTTCACAGACCACTTCATCCCCAGCCTTGTACATTTCTTGGTCTTCAGACCAGTGTTTTTAGTTATGTATGCAACTGCCTTTATTACACCTGGCTATCACAATTCAACTCTCAGGTGTCGCAGAAAAATCTACCTCTTTCAGACTGTAGATGGAAATAACTGTGAAAAAATGCAGATTATCTTCTAGTTTGTGCTAAACACACTGCTTTATTTTTACAGCCCACGTCTTTCATGAGGATACGAATTGTTAAGAGGCAGTCTTGTTTTGCTTTTCAAAAACATTTTGTAGAGATTTTTCACTAATGTGAATCTGATTTTATCTACTCAATTCTGTATAGATTAAGTAAATATGTATGATAAATTTACCAGCTTCTGTGTATTTTTTTGTTCATGTGGCCTCTAATGTAGCAAGTACCTCTTTTTCTTGCTATTCAAAAAAATTGTGATGATTTTTACATAGTTGATTAGGGTGGTAAGGGTCAAGCAGTACAGGAGACGACCATTTCCACAGTCTCCTCCCTGTATCCAAGGGGAGCTAAGAGACAAGCCTTAACCCACCCTCCCAAACGCCTCTGCACCCGGAGATGGAGGGCAGCCACCCGACACTACCCCAGGATCCCCAGTGTGGGGTGCGCTCTGAGGGTCCTACTCAAAAGAGGTTTCGATAATAATTGAACAGTTCTGAATTACCAATCCAAGCACAATGAAATCCACTGGTTCATGTAGTCCATGTTAAGTCTCCGTTAGCCCAGATCGTCACTGCCAACTCTTGGTTGGGGTAGTTGACCCATTTGTTCTGTCCTCTGTTATGGTACCAGGTGTCCTCTGCAGGCTCCAGTGTACTGCCATATCCTCCATGTGCACTGCACATGCCATCTAAGCCACTGAGGCCCAGCTGACACATGCACTCCATGGACTGCAGTTCTCTCCATGGTTGGGGTTCTGAGTCCAGCTGGTTCAGTTCGTGGGAATCCCCATAGAAACTTCATTTGAGGTGATCTCAGTCCTGATTCTTGTGTGTGCTTGCCAGTACAAGGTCCAGCACAGTCTTGTTACCCCAATTAGCTTATGCACATGCTGGTTGTACTTGGGGGGTCAGCTGTCTCCAGCCCTGTCTTCTACACAAACCATTGAGCATTGCAACCCAACCTGATCCTGCCCACCACACACTCAGCCATCACACAAACCAGTGGGAGCGGCCACCTAGTTGGAACAATGCACAATAACCCCCACCAGGCCTGCCCCCGACCCTGGTTCTCAAGCTTACCAGCTTGTACAGCAGACTGGTCCAGCTCTCACACATGTCAATAGGCACTGAAGGCCAATTTACCCCAACCAGTCCCACTACGCAGCCCACACACTTGCTGGCAGGTGTCTGTCTGGCCATGCCCGCCCCATTCCTGGTTCTCATGACCACCAGTTAAGAGTGGCAATCCAACAGGAAGATGCCCAGTTTCCCTACTAGGCCCACTCCCACTTCCAGATCATGCACCCTCCAGGTGGTTCTGCAGTTTAGCTTGACAGAATTTGCTCCCTGCCAGAATTTGCCAGCTGATGCTGCAGCAAAGCCCAACCAACCCTCACCCACACTGGCTTATGCATGCACCAGTAGGAAGTTAACAGCCTGGCTTGCCCCCACTCCAGCTCACATGAGGCCAACAGGTGATGTAGCCCTGCCTGGCCTTGTCTGCCTCCATCCCAACTCTCACGTTCACCAGTGCTAGTAGTAATGCAGCGGGGAGGCCCCATGTATTCCCCCCTCGTTACCGGGTTCACACCCGACCCCCCAGGTGTCGGGTTAGGTGCTGCAGCCCAGTCAGTCATGGTCCTCCTCACCTCGGTATTTGCCAGTGGATGCTGTAGCCTAGCTGGGCCCAGCCTGTCCCCAGTCCCTGCTATCACGTGAACTGGCCTGTGTTGCAACCCAACCCCCACCCCATTCTGGTGATCGGATTCGCCAGCAAGTGATATGAACTGGCCCACCCAGGTTCACCCCCAATCTGTGCCAAATGTATGCCAGTGGGTACCATTCCCTGGCCTGGCCTGGTCTGGTCTGCTCCCTATTCTTGTGCTCACCTGCGGGGACTGTGTGCTGACAGGAGTTCCCAAGCCAGCCCTACTTAGTCCACCTCCTGTCCTAGCAGGAACAGTGGCCTTTCCTGACTGGCCCTCACCCATTCCGATTCTTACTGGGTGCCAGCCAAGCATGGTCCCTACCCAGACACAGGTCATGCATGGCTGTAGGGACACAGACCTAGCTAGTCCACCCTACAGCTACCCTAGTTCTCATGAGCACCAATAGGTGCTAGAGTCTAGCCCAGTCTGGCACACCCCAGACCCAGTCCACACTCATGCTGAGGGACGCTATAGCCTTCACTCACCAGTGGGAACCACAACCCAGCCCGGGTGTTCCCTTAGCCCCCAACCAGGCCTGTTCCCATGCACAGATCTTGTGCACGCCAGTGGCTGCTCTGATCCAGCTTGGCAAAGTCCTTCACCTGTCATGGCCTTTGCCTTTGGATGCTGCAACCTGGCCCTGCACAGGCTGCTCCCACCCCTGGCTCATGCAAACCAGTAGATGTGACAGCCTAGTACAGCATGACCTACGCTCCAGCCTGGCTTTTGCACTTGCTGGTGAACTAAGGTTTGCTCAGCGCTGCCCAGTCCACCCCCTTCCAAAACCAACCCACACCATAGCCAACAGCTGGAGCTACCTTGCCCATAGTGCCCAACCCCCATGCTCACCAGCAGGAGCTGTGGCCCACCAGGGAAGTTTCCCAGATTCCCCCACTCGGCCCAGTCCGAGACCTAGATCTCACGCATACTAGCGGGTGCTAGGCCCTTGCCCAGCATAGCCTGCCCCTCCATCTTGGCCTTGTATGAGCCGGTGAATGCTGTGGCCTGACCCGCCCCACACCCTGTTTTAGGATGCACATGTGGGTGCTGCAGTCTGGACCTGCCCAGACTACTCTCAGCCCCTGTACCCATGAGTGATGGCAGGTTCCACGGTCACACCTAGCTCAGCTCATCATTACCCCAACTCTTGAGCTGACCAGTGGACTTGTATTTCCACAGGGTTAGCCCCACATATCCCCTAGCAAATCTACCCCCCACACCTGGTTCTCTTGCGTGATTAGTGTCATGGCCCTGTCCAAAGTGAGCCGTCCCCTGTTCTGACATTCCATCAGGTACTGTGATCTAGCCCTGCCCGACAGGTCCCCAGCCCCAGCTTTCGTGTGACTGACATGTGGTCCAGCAATGTTCCATGCTAATAAACCCAACCCAGGACTCCCATGTGGGCTGGTGCACTGGTCTGACCCATACAGGTCTTTCGGACTCTCCCCTCTATGCCACCAGGTCTCAGTCCCCTCGCTTACCTGCAAGTACAGTGGCCCTGTTGTTGGGGGTCCCTAAGGAGTCATTCCTCACCTACACGTACAGTGGCCTTATCCATGCATGTCCCTAGGCAGTAATTCCACACACCTAAGACCCCAGAGCTTGTCACCTGGCAGCCAGCAGGGGAAGCCCGGTGCCATTGGCACTCAGACCGCCCACAAGCTCAGGATTTGCCCACTGCTTGGCAGCAGTGAACGGGGAGCTGGGATCCCCAGCAGGAAGGCTGGCCTGGCATGGATCCCTCCACTCACAGCTACATGGCTGGGGATCCAGACGCTCATTTCTCTGCCCAGACTTACCTGGGCTCCAGCAAGCCCCTCCTGTACTCAAGGATGCATGCACACCCATCGGCCTCCCCACCTTCTAAAAGAATAACACTACGTTTATTTTAAAACTTTATTTCTGCAAAGCCAATCAAGAAAGTGTTGAAGGAAAAAGTGTAAAAGTTACTGTTGCATATTTGGGAACAGCAAGCACTTAGTTTGAGAAAATGAGGACTTAAAACAGTTGAACCAAACGCAGTACCCTGCTACTTACATCTTAAAACAATGGTGATGTTCTTAAGAAACAATCTTTTCTTTCCTAACAGCTACAATATGATACAGTACGCAATAGCTCACTTGAAAGTGCTAGAATCAGAGAGTAAAGAATGCCAAAAGCCATCCCACTTAACAATTCTTACTATACAATGCTTTTTTGCTGCTTGATAAATCAAGCATTCTTTCATGTAGCATTACATTCAACAGAAGACCTCTCAGACACTGCGATTAAGATCCTTGCCCCTCCAGCTCCGATGTTGTGACTTCTGACTCTTCATCATTGTAAATATTTTCAGCCTGGAGAGAACCACCAAATAAAGTCAGAGGTAAAACTCTTCCCTGTGGTTTTTACAAAGTCATCTAAAAACAGAATTCTGTGTAAGTGTTGTAAACTACAGAGGGCCACATTTTTACAATTCACTCGGCTTTCACTGCTGTGTCCATCCTGCCTCATGCGGCCTCACAGATGCCTCGCCAGCAGTCCCTCAGGCATCACTGAGAGGGAGCTAGGCTTGGGGTGTTTATGAAACACCTGGTCAAGTGCTTGCATCATCTGAACACTCTGATGTTGCTCTTGTGTCTCCATCACAGGCCCCGGAGACAGAAGCGGCACCAAGCCAGCCTTGGATGAAGTCACATGTGTTCATATGGAGCACTACAGAGCTTCCTCCTATACCAGCAGGTGCTCAAGACAGATAAAGCACCAGTATGGTACTAACAGTTGTGGTAAAATGGGAAAAAAGTGCATGTTTTATACAATACTCATCTGTCCTACCAGCAGTCCATGTACAAGGCACATCTCAGCTTACCATCTGCCATATCTGCATGATGTTATCCTCGGAGACAGAGCAGATGACCCACGGCTCGTTGGGGTTCCAGCTAAAGTCCGAAATCTTTGCGGTGTGTCCTCCATGAATAAACTGTTGACAAGAACAACCAAAGGTGGTTTCATTTCCTCTGAACCTAAATATCTCAAAGACTTCACCCTTGAGAGCATCCATCTTTCAGGATGCAGGCTGGGAGAACTGGCAGCTTCAGTGGGAGAGCAGTGCAGGCTTAGTGATTGCTTCCACACCGCATCTGCCGGAGGAGTCTCCCTGGTGCCCAATGACTTCTCTAAGAAAGGGATACCTCACACTCCTCCGCAGTCTTTGCAAAAGCACACCAGCTCAGAGTTCCCATGTAGGCCTAAGCGGACAGCTTGGCTAAAAAAAAATGGTGGAGGGACACAATTGCATTTCCTGCAAGAGAACTTCACAGGAAGCCACGATACCTTACTTATCTTTAAGATGTGGAGCAACAGTTCTTGTCAAGGACAATACTAATACATCGTTTGCGAAACGGAACACATACTTTGTGCCAAAGTCCGCTTTTGACAATGAGCTGTCTATTAGGCTATCATTGGGTTACAACTGATATAACTATTTCAGCTTGTTTTGTTTCAAAATATGATAGTGTACAGTAACTTGTCAAACATTTTTGGGGATATCCAAAGATTTGTAGCTTGAAACACATGCAAAAATCACCAGGTACACTTGTAATTATCATTATAGCATACAGTTCACTCAAGTCTCTTAATTTCAGATTTTTTTGTGAAAAGAACAAAATCCTAGGATTGTCTCCAGGACCAGGAAGCTGATGCAGAGCCATGACACACAAAATAACGAACTTGTCCCTCTCTGTGCTATCAAAAGCTAGCTGCGAGCCTTGAAAACATGCCAAGTAAATGGCCACAGAAAATTTTTGTATGAGTGCATTTTTACAGAAATTCCAAGAACAGCTTAATCATAAAGGCAAAGCAGATTGGTGGTGGCTGGGAGTTATGGAGAAAGGGTTCAGAGATAGTTTGAGGGGACAAAAATATTCTAGAATTTGTGAGGATGATTGTACAAATCTGAATATAGTAAAAATCACTGAATTGCATAAACTAATGAACTGTATGGTATGTGAATTATAGTTCAACAACTCTCACTAAAGCGCAAATACGACGAAAATAGCTGGGAACAATGCCATTCCTAGAAAATCCTGAAATCCTATGAAGTCATGGCTCACACAGCACACTGTAACGGAACAGTCAGCACAGAATGAAGTAGTGACATGCTACCATCTGCTTGTGCCACAGCTAATGGAGAGGCACACCTGGGCCAGCGCATGGCACAGTGCTGGTGGGGAAGTCTAAAAGAGACCATGCAAGGTGGGACATGATGTGCACATCATGGCTATTCTCAAAGGCCAAGCATAAATGTACTAACAATTGCAGGCACCTCAGAGCGGGGAGTGATTCTCAGCCGACCGGCTGAAGTAGGTGGACAAATGCTGACTTCCAAGCCCGAACAACCAAGCATTGCTCTGCTTCATACACAAGTCAGGCCATTCAAAATGTTCCATACGTATCACTAATGAAATCTTTCCCCAATTCTCATATTTGAAATGAGTGAGAAATTGTTCAGTTTCCAGGAGCTAAAACTAGTCGTACATTCATAAAAACCTACTGGAATACCTTTGCTATTTTTGAAAGAGTGTCAAAACTTAATTACAATAATCTCCAAACTCTCACTTTGAAATCACCTTCAAGAGCTAGAACTTAGGGGTTGGCGTGATGGTCCAACTAGCTAACATCCACTTCCAAGTGCTGGCATCCCATATGGGTGCTGGTTCATGTCCCAGAAGCCCCACTTCCCATCCAGCTCCCTGCTTGTGGCCTGGGAAAGCAGTTAAGGACGCCCACAGCCTTGGGACCCTGCACCTGCGTGGGAGACCTGGAAAAAGCTTCTGGTTTCAGATCAGCTCAGCTCCAGTCACTGTCACCATTTGGGGAGTGAACCAGCAGATGGAAAATCTCTCCCTATGACTCATTCTGTGTATGATGTTGTGATTTTTAAAGAAAGCCAATGCATACCAGGAGTTCCGGAGGCCCATCTTCTGCATCTTCCGCTGACTGTTCTTCTCCAATTTTACTATTGGGAAAGAGTAGAATGTTTTTATCACCTAAAATTCTTGCAGCGTGACATACACGCAACCAGCAAGTCCCTGTGCACCTGTACACGCAAACCCTCTCCTCCTTAGCATGCTACAGGCAGTCAGGGATTTCAATTATTTAGTAGATGTTTGTTTATTTCATGGAATTTTTTTTCATTTAAAAATTTTTTATGCTATAGTTCCATAGACTCAGGGAATTTCGCTTCCCACCTCACAACTGAGTTCCCCTATATTCATGAACATGTTTTCAGGCTATTCACAACTGAGGTGATAAGATGGGAGAACTGTCATTAATTCAAAATGTCTAAAGATTTAATTATGCTGTTACAGTTGGAATGCCACACTGCAGTCGCTCTCCACTTCCGACTCATCTCTTTGCTTACATGCCTGGGGGACTCAGGTAGGTGGCCCCTCCCCACAACGTGGGGAACTCATGATGGAGTATGGCTTCAGTCTGGCCTAGCCCTGGCTGTTGCAGGCATTTGGGGAATAAAACAGCAGATGAAACATCAGTCATTCTGCCTTAGGGGGAAAAAAGCCTCGTTAAAAAGGGGGCAGATGGGCCCGGCAGCATGGCCTAGAGGCTAAAGTCCTCACCTTGAACGCACCGGGATCCCATATGGGCGCTGGTTCTAATACCGGCAGCTCCACTTCCCATCCAGCTCCCCCTGTCTCTCCCTAACTTTCAAATACGAATAAGTAAATATTTACACTAAAGAATTCAATCATTTGGATGGATACACACCAACACCAAATTTCATGCCTGAATATCAGGGAAAAACTAAAATCATTCGCTAATTCACTTCTGTCTCACAGAACACAGTAAATTTAGCATTAGGTTTATTGAAGTAGGATTAGCAAATAATGATTCTAGTTTTGAATTCCTATGTCATCTTGCCATGTTTATGCAGCAGTACCATGTAACCAGATTTTAACTTACCTTAAATCCCACACATTCAGGCGACGATCAGTGCCACTTGAAGCCAAAATAGTCTCATTATGTGGAGACCAGTGGACCTACCAATAGATGTTTAGAAAAATCTATTTTTAACCATCACCTGCTCCGAAGTTTGTGGAGAACATTCCAACCCAAGGTGTTTTTTCCATTTTGTGCTCTTGTATCTTCTCTTCACAGCCTTGTCCTAGCCTTTCATGGGTTCTTACAGGGACCCCAGCTCCCTGGTCTGGCCTCAGGAAGGTCATACATTCCTATACCAAGAATATCAGTGATGGGCTCTCAACAAACTCCTACTCAAGTGTCATAATCACCGTTGCAGAAACTTGAAAAAACCTTTTACAAGAGGTTTGCCCTGACCTGTGTCCATCTGTTAAACTGAGCCCATGACGTTTTCCTACTAGATGTGCTGCAGTTGTGTCTGCATTCAGATGGACTTGGTTTTACGTGTTCCTTCTGGTTCTCAGTGAAGAGCATCTATAAGCTGTAAGGCATTCCTTACTAGTTTACTTATGCATAAGAGGAGCTTTTTAAAATACAGCCATGTCCCACGCAAGCATTAAAGATGGAAAAACATAAAACACAACATATAGAAAGTAGAAAGTGTCATGTACCTGGAAAATTTCATCCTTATGAGACTCGAAGGTATGAAGCTTTAATTTCAAGTTACGCAGATCCCATAAAGCTACAGTCTGAAGAAAAGCAACAAGTGAAAATGATTTCTGCCCTTCACAAAAACAATTTCAAAATACCCAATTAAAGCACAGAAAACAACTGTGTCTTGTGAACACCAAATATACAGAAACTTGGAAACCTTATCCGCAGAGCCTGTTGCTAGAATGAACTCGCTGTAGGGATTGAACGAGAGGCAGTTGACCTCGGCAGTGTGTGCATCCACCAAGTGACTCGGCTTGGAAGTGGTATTGGACCTGGTATCCCATCTAAAACAAAAGGAAAACAAGCACACAGCACCTAAGGGGACACCAAGTCTTCCAACCTCTCGCACTGTGATGCCGGCACCATGGCAATACCGTTTGCTAGTAAGCTCTGCTTTAGACAAAAAGATGGTTTCTATGAGTAAGCGATGCAATTTCAAGCCTACAGAAAAGTGGTATTATTTCCGGTTTTTGTGTAGATCCTGCCTTAATTAACAATTACCCCACGCATACACAGAACACAAATCATGCACAACTATATAGCTAATATCCAACCTGTCTTGTCCAATTTCAGTACTTGTTTCCCCCTATGATTTTCAGATCGTAGCTTTTGTCAGGTTAGCTTCTTCAAGGGACAAATTGATACATAGCTAGATGCGGGAGCTCTGTGGTGACACCTGCTAGAATCCTCTTCCTCCCTGAACCCGAGATGAAGTCACTCAGGGTCCTAACTAGGCTCTTTATGAAGCACGTTCCTTAATACTTACTAACTGTTTTTCTCTCTCTGAAACAAAGGTATATATAGCACAATACCTCTTTTACAAAAAGAACATTACATGTTAATTTTATTATGTAAATTATACCTCACCTAAAGCCAAAATTTAACTATTAAATGAAAACTACAGTCCCTGACGGTCACTGAACAAGATCCCGCTCAACCTGCCACCTTACATCATAAGTTTCTGATCATCAGCAACAGATCCAAACAACGACTCATGGAGCAGGTGCCAGGCCACGTCCTCCACCACAGCCGAATGACCAGTAAAGATTGCCTTGGCATCCACGATTTTGCCTTCCTTTGGTCCTGCGTTTATATCCCACAGACAGACAGTCTGAGGAAGAAGAGGGAAAAGAACAAGAGCTATGAAACTGAATTTAAACGCTAACATCTTATGGAAAATGCTTTTGTTAAAAACCAAAGTGTTGCACCCATACATTTAAATTCCAAAAGTCATCTAAACAATAACATCAAGAGCTTGATCTCTATAACAGAAATGCACATCCTATACACACGCTGGGTTGGAAGAATGGGGAATTCAAACTAAAATGTTACTCTGCAAAGCCAGAAGTCTTCTAAGACATGTAGTTCACTTCACAGAAGAGTCTAGAGCTTGAGCCTGCACATCAGCTGCATAGAGGGCCCTGGCAAGCATCAGTGGGACCTCCTAAGGCAGGCGTGAGCAGTGGGCAGCTTAGCCACCCACAAGTCACAGCGCCTCATGACCTCCAGCTCAAGACGTGAGCCTTTAATCACAGGTCAAAGTCTTGCGTTTTCATGGGAAAGTATGATAAGCTATAGGGTGATGTTTCTCATGCAATGGTACAAAGCAAGAATGCCTTTTAAAGCACGTTAACACCAATTCCAATTCCACTGATGATGGCAGAGGGCTCATCTCTAAATCAGTTCCTTATATGAAGGGGTTCCTGTAACAAAGCTATTTCCTAAGTATTAAAAATTTTCTTGCAAATGGCATGATGGCCCTACCAGCTAATCCTCTATCTTCAAGTGCCAGCATCCCATATGGATGCCAGTTCATGTCCCAGTGGCCCTGCTTCCCACCCAGCTCCCTGCTTGTGGCCTGGGAAAGCAGAGGAGTATGGCCCAAAGCCTTGGGACCCTGCACCCATGTGGGAACCTGGAAGAAGCCCATGACTACTGGCTTTTGGCTCAGCTTTGGCCATGTGGAGAATGAAACAGTGGATGGAAGACCTTTCTGTGTGTCTCCTCATTCTGTAAAATCTCTTTTTTTCCAATAAATATGAGTAAATTAAAAAAAAACAAAACAAAACAAAATTCCATCACAAAAATGCATGTGTCCTTATTCCAACTGGCTAGACCAGAAAAGGACCCTAAGACCAGCCCGTCTGTCACACAGTCCTTGGTAATGGCAGCTATCATCACAACAGATTCCAACACTGGACTCCTCAGCAGGTTCTCATAACTAGGCCACCAAGTCCATACAGGCCACATCCCCTGCTGGGCACGTGGGAAGCTGAGGTGAGCTTCCCTTTAGCAAACCCAGGCCAGCCTTGTTTGCACAGTATCCCTAGCAGCCAGGCTACAGGAATGTCACACAAGCTTCCTGGTGCAGTGGCCTTTGAATAGTAAACAGCAGGAAGCCTCTGCTTGGGGAAGGAGGGACAGCGGAGCGACAGCTGCTCTCCGGGGTAGTAACAGCGATTTCTTCATGGTTGTGGCGCCTATTTCTGGGCAGTTTTCTAGCCTCATTCTCCAGCTGTCAGAGCCATTCTGTGAGCTACAAGCTCCGGGCTTCTGCTTGGGACAGTCCTGGCCATTAAATCCATCCTGGGAGCAAACAAGCAGACGGAGTACCTCCTTTCTCATCTGCTCTAACTCTGCCTTTCAAATAAATACATCTCAAAAATAAAAAATCCAAAAAAAGCTAATGTGACATGATTACTGAGGCAAAGTTACATGTGCTTTCTTTTTTATCACTAGAGTATGTTTTAAGGCTTATTTATTTGAAGGGCAGAAAGAGGAAGATCCATCAGCTGGTTCACTCAACTGGCACCAAGGACTGGAGATGGGGCCAGATGGAAGCCAGGAGACTGAAACTCCATCCGGGTCCCTCAGGTGGGCACAGGGGTCCAAGCATCTAGGCCACCTTCTGCTGCTTTCCCTTTCCCAAGTGCAGCAGCAGGCAGTGCAGTCCACAGTGGTGGGGACTCAGATGCTGACGTCACAGGCAGCAGCAGAGCCCACGGCACTAACTGCTGACCCGGGCAGCTTTGGAAAGAAGCCTAGTCTCAATTAAAAACCCATCAAATACTTTTCACTTGTACTAAGGGGATCCATGAAAAAAGGTATTGGGCTTATTAGTGGTAAGAACTGCTGGTTTACAATAATTTAACTAGATCACTTTCCTAACCTTTTTAAGGAATCCATGTCATTTTATTTACATGAAAGGGAGAGACAGATAAGAGTCCATTTCTATCCACTGCCTCAATACCTGCAACAAAGCCAGGAATCCAATCCAGGTCTCTCACCTTGGGAGCAGGACGCTGGAACCAGAAGTTTGAGCAAGGTATTGAACCCAGACACTCAAATGCACCATGTGGACGTCCTAATCCAGGTCTTAACTACTGGAATAAACATGTGTCTTTGTGTGGCACTTTGAGGTTAAGGAAAAACAAACAAACAAAAATTTGTACTAAGGATGCCACAGCAGTTCAATGTGGAAGGATAAGTCTATTCAATAAATGGTGCTGGAAAAATTGAATATCCACATGCAAAAAAAAAGTTATGTTTTTCACTCCATAAAAATATAAAAAATAGACAAATACTTAAGTCTTAATATGGACTCATGGTTCTTTCATAATATGCATTTTCCATGAGCCTGTTCAATACCTCTTAAAGAATTTTTGTGAAACAGTGATGGGATTGAGGGTGAGGGCACTGTGTGGAATGGCTGCCTCCCACATAAGCGCGCCTGATTCATGTCTCGTCTACTCCATTTCAACGCAGCTTCCTACTAATGTGCATGCGGGAAGGTGGCAGTGACGCCTGTTCTTCGGTCCCTGCTGCCCACACGGGAGCCTCTTGATGAAGCTGTGTGCTCTCCTAGCTCCGGCCACTCTCAACTGCTGCACGCATTACAGGGTAAACCAGTGGACAGGAAATATTTTTCCACTTTTCAAGAAAGAAAAAATACAATAAAACCCACTTTATATAGACAAAAGATCTGAAAACATTCTTTGTCTAAAGGAAATCTATAGTTAATAAGCACAAGAGATGCTCAATACTCTTCATCAGCAATTACAAATGAAAAATCACACACTCATCAGGCAGCCATAATCGAAGACGGCAAGTGCTGCTTAGAATGTGGAAAAATGCCAACATTTACGTTGCTGGTGGCAATGTAAAACAGGCAGCACCTTTGAAAAGTTTTTGCAGGGTTTCAAAAAGTGAAATCCTAATACTACTACTACTGTAGGAGTCAGGTAATTACCCAAGAGAAATGAAAACATACCTCTATGCAAAATAGCCAAAAAGTGCAGCCACAAGTCCAAATGGTCAAATAGTGGAACCAACCCAAACTGCAGAGTATTCCCTACAATAATGCATTATTCAGCCATGAAAACGAATCAAGTACATGTTACCTGAAGCCATACAGAAAAAGCCATGTATTGAATGATTCCACTTACATGCAATGTCGAGAATAAACTACCACAGACAGAAAGAGAGCAGGAGTGAAGCAGTTAGCAGAGTAACAGGGAATTTCCTTTTTGAACATTTGATAAAAAAATATGCTAGAATTGTGATAGGCACAGAAAGAAGTTTTCAATATACTAGAAGCCACTGAACTGCACACATAGTTAAAAATGCATTATTCGGGTTCTAAAATACTTAATTTAGTGTTTCTGTGTTAAGGAGCTATGGGTTCTCTTTGTCAACAATGGTAGAGGCCTTTCGCCCACCTTCCCTTCATTCTAACATTACTTCAAAAGAGCTTTGTGAAGCCCTAGAGCTCCACCAGAGTAGACTGCAGTTCAGGCTTGAACACCTGGGAAACAGTACAACATTATCATAGGAAACTTTTCATTTCTGTAACGCCCCTTCAGCGCAGAGCTTTCGGGGACAGCTCTCTCAAGTCTCACTGCATGAACACGTTTCTCACATGGTCGTCCGATGCACTCAGGAGGTGTCCGCTCAAGTTGGAATTCCAGGAAAGACCATACCCTTCCTTTTGGTGACCTCTCAATCGGAGATCAGGATTACATTCTCCACTTGGGTCTGAGAAAAAAAAAAACCACATTAATTAGCAAGTTATTTTATCAGAAATGTTGAGAGCAAATTCTCATTCTTCTATGAAATAATCCCTAACAGCAATTGCACATGATCAAGGACTTGTTACAACAGCTTAAAAAGCTGGTTTCTGGCCCCGGTGTGGTAGTGTACTGCCTAAAGTCCTTCCTTGCATGCGCTGGGATCCCATATGGGCTCCAGTGGCCCCACTTCCCATCCAGCTCCCTGCCTGTGGCCTGGGAAAGCAGTCAAGCATGGCCTAAAGCCTTGGGACCCTGCACCCGCATGGGAGACCCAGAGGTTGTTCTTGACTTCAGATCAACTCCGCTCTGGCCATTGTGGCCACTTGGGGAGTGAACCAGAGGACAGATCTTTCTCTGTATCTCCTCTCTGTAAGCCTTTCTAATAAAAAAAAAAAAGAAAGAAAAGAAAAGAAAAAAAGAAAAACTGCTTTTCTTTCCCTGCCTCATTTTAAACATTCAATGTAAACTCAGTTTCATAATCATAAAATTACTGGTTTATTTGGAAAACCCAATACCATACCACAAAACCCCCAAATTTTAGCTATCTCACAAATTTGTATAGCAACAACTCCATTCTACTGCTTAATTTTTCAAAATACTTTTCACTGCCGGATCAAGCTGTAGACCCTCGGAGCAACTCGCCAACACTCGCAGGACTGTCTAGCACAATTCCCAGTACATGTGGCTTCAGTGTTGGGGCCCCGAGTTTCCACTACACAGCTAGTCACAGAGCAGGATGTGCCTATGTGAGCAGACCCCATAAAAGTCCTAGACCCCGAGACTCAAACAGGCTCCCCTTAACTGGCACACTCAGGATCAGTTCCTGTGGTTTCCTGCTAGACAGACAGCATATCCTGTGTGGTTCCAGTCTGGCCCTGACCTCTACATTTCACCTGATACCTATTTTGTTCTGGATCCTTTGTTGTTAACAAAGTTTAGCCATATAAGCCTGTTTCTCACTAGTGGTTATGTGACTCAACCTAAACAATCATAAACCTTTACATATTAGTTGTACTACTGTGAATGACCTTAAAACATTACTTTTTCTAACATTACATTTTTAACAAAAAACAAATGCTCAAGTAGTGAGCTATCTTTATTACTACACACCTGGTTTGGCAGGATGTTTTGTATAGTCAAAAACCAAGACATCAGAAGACGGCGTCTTTGTAGCAATGATATGAGGATTCTGTGGCATGTAACGGGCACGGTTTACTTCTCCTTCATGATTAATTTTGATTTCACATTCGATCTTTCCTGTTACAGAACCAAAGCCTCCAAATTCTAAGGTGAGCAGAAAAAGAACACACATTTAGAATTAAAGTCACTAGTTACCTACCAGTGCAGCACATTTCAGCTTCACAATACACATTACATATTGATCAGGAATAACCTGAAGAACTCACACAACTTACCGCAACTCATCCTTAAGTCATACATACAAAGCACAGCAAAAAATGAAACCAAGTACAATTCTGGTGCAATAGGGTTGGAAAGTCCATGTTCTCTGAGGACACTATATATAAAAGGGATTCAAAACACTTTGCAACAAATTACACTTGTTTTTAATTCCATTTCATGTGAACTCTTTGAAGTACTCTTGCTAGCATACTTAGTTCAACTGCACGTACCATGCCAAAGTTAAAACAAGGGAGGGGGGTGAACCTCTCTCTCTGCTGCATGAATAAGACTTTGGTGTTCTATCTGTGAAAAAGTAACAAAGCTGCACAAAAACACCATGATTAACTTCTAAGAACTAGCAGAAAGAGTACAAGTAGAGAACATCTAAGCAGATATAATAGCAAGTGCATTTTCGAATTTGTTGCTGACACTTCAAATGTGAGGAGGCTGGGTATTTGGCCCTGCAGGTAGGAGGCCCTTGGCCCACACAGGCATGCCTGAATTTGATACTAGCTGATTTGTGATTATAGTTTCCTGCTAACATGAACCCTGGTGTCAGCACTGATGGCTCAAGTGGCTGAGTTCCTGCCATCTGCAAGTTCCTGGCTCTAGCTCCCAGCTTCAGCTGGGGGTGGAGGGTGTGTGGACATTTGGGGAGTACACCAGAAGAAAGGCGCTCTTCCCTTCATTCACCTCTAAGTTTATTTTCTAAACTAGCTTTATTTTTTTATTTTTAAAATTTTATTTATTTTTATTAGAAAGTCAGATATAGAGAGGAGAGGAAGATCGTCCGTCTGCTAGTTCACTTGCCAAGTGGCTGCAATGGTAGGAGCTGAGCCGATCCGAAGCCAGGAGCCAGGAGCTTCTTTTGGGTCTCCCACGCGGGTGGCAGGGTTCCAAGACTTTGGGCCGTCCTCGACTGCTTTCCCAGGCCATAGGCAGGGAGCTGGGTGGGAAGCGGGGCTGCCGGGATTAGAATTGGCGCTCATATGGGATGCCGGTGCATGCAAGGAAGGACTTTAGCTGCTAGGCCACTATGCCAGGTCCTCACCCCTAAGTTTAAAAATGTTTTAAAAACTTAGGAGATTTCACATACCACTAGTTTCAGGCCAGTCATTGATTCAAACGCCTGATGGAACTATGCATCTAATAAGTCAAATAGATCAGGGCCTGGGAGAAAACTGCACTGCAAGGAATGAACTACTTGTCAGTTCTAACTAGTTCTTGCTATGTGGGAATGCTCAGTGAACATTGGCTTAGGACCCACATCTAGCCAGCCTTCCCTGCAACAAACACGGGTCGCCATTTCAGTGCGGCTGAAAACCATGTCCTATTCCACACAACTTTTTCAAAGTTCCTCCACCTAAAGTGCCACACAACCATATCCAAAAATATCCATCTTCTCTCAGCACTTTTCCCTTTCCTTCATGTCATCAGAAGACACACACTTCACTTTCTAAGACTACCCCCGCAATCCATCTCCAGGGATTCCAATGATTTTAACCCCTTTCCTACAAAGGCACTCAATTTTGCCAATTCCCTTAATTAAAACCTGAACAGCTTAGAAGAAAGAGCACTCTGTATACAATTTACTTGGAACACAGGACTTGGGATCCTCTGAAAAAGGTTGTATCAATAACAAAGTTAAAAAAAGGGTATTTTCAACTCATTAATTTGTAAGACCAAAATAATAACAGACCAAGTAATATACTGGATGTGCAAATTTAATATACCTATCTATTTTGTAGTGACTACTTTGTTAATCTGAAATCCCAGTTAATTATTTCAGGATCAGAATTTAAAACTTCTGCATACAGTACTTGCAAAAATAAAATTCAAGGTTACAGCAGAATGAACTATGAACCATTGGGGGATTGGTAAATTGGAAAAAAAAATCACTCTTATGTTAAGGTTACCATGAGTAACACCACACAGCCGAACGATTTCAATTTCAACACACTGGACAACGTAACATTTTCGTTCCAGTCAAAATTAAGCAAATTTCAGAATGTTCAGATTATTAAGTCACTTGAAGCTACGAACAAAGAGTTGACTTGGCAGGTCTGACTGCTCAGCCATTTTATCTCTAAAGGACACTGAGACCCTACTGCCCCTCTGCCAATTCCTGGGAACATGGACCTCACAGTGTTCTTTATGCTACTGATAGACTGATGATTCTGCGGTGTACATCTGGAGCAACAGACCATGCTGTACCAGTTTGTACAAACCAGCGTGATGATAACGCACCTGCTTTCCTTACTGGGACTGAGCTGGAGCTGTCCTGGCTTGTTTCCAGCAAGATGAGCCGGCACAGCCAGTCCTCCAGGAAAGTCTCAAACCCCAAGACCCAGCTGGGATTCCTTGGGCAAAGATATTCCATCCGTGTCACTGTAATTTGCTGCCAGAGAGAATAAGTGTGCATCCTTGGTGGCCCTGAATGATGGAGCACTGTGCCTGTCCTCCACAAACTCTCCAATGCCGTTTTCCTACTGTAATTCTGTTCCATATGCTCAGGAATTTAGCCACAAGTAAAATTTCCTCTTCAGTCTTGTGGGTCCTTCTAGAGAAATCACTAAACTAAGCACGGTTGTGGAAATAACCAAAACAGGGGGTGTGTATCTGACATTAGTAAAGAAGAAATTTTCAAGTTTTCTAAACTGACCTTACCTACTGCCTATCTTCCCCCAAAATAAACCTGCATTAGTAAATGTTTTTCTATGACATATCAACACATATCATACACCACTACTTTTACCAAAATGCAATATTGTAATTATTCATACCAGTTATTCAAATTTATCTTGGAAATTTTCTACATCGGTACATATATTTTTCTCATTTTTTAAAAATGCTAAGTAGCACTTCAAATATATCATAATGTATTCAACTGATTTCTTATGAACCAACATCTAGGCTGCCAGGTACTAATTTTTCAAACCCAAAGTAATAATATCGTGAAATCTTTGCACACATGTAGGTGAGGGTTCTGTAGGATACAGTCCAAGAAGGTAAACTGCTGGACCAAAAACTTAACATTATAGACATATTTAATAACAAACTTGGAAAGAGACAGACTTCCTGAAACATCAATATTGGAATATATAAAACACCTACCCCCCTTGTCACTGTCACAGTGGGAGGCATCAAACTGCGCATCATCATTGGGAATATGCACTCGAGCCACCACCAGGTGATTCTGCTCGTCAGAGGTGTGAGTCCCCAGGACCAGCCAATGAAGGGCATAATCCTTCCCTTCCGGTCTGTTTAAGAAAGAACACAGTCATACTCATTCTATAAGAAATCTTCATTTGCTAAACAATCCAATCTAGTTTTCTCAAAACACTTTAAAATTTCTTTAACAATTATATACTGTGCCATTTATTTTGTACCTGTTCCCGTGTAGCTACCAACTTTACAATGCCCACACATAAAAATTCTTCAGAAATATTCTAACCACAACATGTAGAGGACTTGCCCCTTTTCTAGAGTCATCCTCCCCTGCTTTGCTTATCAACACGCACACCACCTTTCAGGAGCAGCACTCTGGGGAAGGCAGGCAGAAGGGATACACTAAAATCACCCATCACTTGTAAGTAAGGACTTCCCATCTAAACATAGCTTTGGTCCATAGTCTTATTATTTTAATACACTAGATGTTTCTGGTTTTCCCAAGAGGCAAGAAGGCGAAATGCCAAGTTAAAAACCACCACCACCACCACCACCTACATTTAAATCCTAGATGAAGCTAGAATCAACCATGTATAATGGTTTAAATGCTTCCCCTTGGGTTTCAAAATTTCTTCACCTAATAGGTAACAAGTTCAAACAGCATGATCTGAAACCCCCTATTTAATGCTGGTGACTGCTGAAGGTTATTGAATGACACCCTCGATTGTACTGAAGGGTAACATTTTTGCTGTGTTCTGTGGATACCCATGTTGAGGCAAAAGAAGTTAGCAATGCACCCGGCACTTTAGTTTCAGCAATGAATTTTCATCTCTATCAACAAAGCTTTTCTATCATTTGTATGACCTAGAAGAACTACCGTGGGGGACAACCAAGAAGTAAGGCTCTAGTCCCACAACACCAGACGCTAGGTCATTTATGCTTCTAAATTTCAGTTGTACTAAAGATTCAATGCTTCCACCAAAAGTTTGTTATTTCTAGAAATGCAGCATAATAATTTAACAAATTGTGCCACTGTTGTAGCACAGTAAGTTTAGCCACCTGGTTTGAGTCCCTATTGCTCTGCTTCCAATTCAGCTCCTTGGAAATGCGCCTGGGAAAGCAAAGAAGGATGGCCCAAGTTCTTGGCCCCCGGTACCATGTGGAAAAATCAGCAAGAAATTCCTGGCTGGTTCAGCTCTGGCTGCTGCACCATTTGGGGAGTGAATCAAATGGTTGGGCCTGGCACAGTAGCCTAAATGAAAATCTGTCACTCCCTTTGAACTCTGATTTCCAAATAATGTAACTTATAAAGATTTTTCTTTTGGAAAAGCAAATTTACAGAGAGGAGGAGAGACACAGAGAAAAATCTTCCATCCATTGGTTCACTCCTCATGTGGCCACAACAGTTAGAGCTGAGTCCATCCGAAGCCAGGAGCATCTTCTAGGTCTCCTATTTGTCCCAAGTCATTCTCAACTGCTTTCCCAGGCCACAAGCAGGGAGCTGGATGGGAAGTGAAGCAGCTGGGTCAGAAACTGGTGCCCATGTGGGATGCCAGCAGATTCAAGGCAGCTACTGTGCCAGGCCCTCAAATATTATATCTTAAAAAAGTGTGATCGACAAAAAGTTCATGGAAAACTCCATTGATTTCAGATTTCACACCAAAATATTTATCTTTTATTTTCATATAATACATAATACAACATGAAATTTTACAAAGATTTGGGCCATGAGGGGAAATAAAAAACAACTTCAGAATAAGCAGTCATGGCTAAGTAACAGCAACCTCCTTGAAAAAAAAATGCAAATCTTGGCTGACACACGTAGAGTGAACCATGGTTATGACGGGGATATCAAAAAAAAGGCAATTAATTGCATACTTAAATGATCTTCATATTGAGAGGGAGCAACTGAGCACAGCCAATTTACTTATTTTTCATCCGCTGGTTTGCTCTCCAAATGGCCAAAACTGCTAGAGCTGGGCCAATCTGAAACCAGGACATCACATATGCGCAGGGGCCCAAGAACCAAAGCCAGGCTGTTGCTCTCCTAGGTCTTAACTAGGGAGCTAGATCAGAAGTGGAGCAGCCAGGAATCTCACCTATGGGATTCTGACACGACAGGCGGTGGATCAGCCCGCTACTGCGCCAGACCCAAGCCAATTCATTTTTAACCAGCAAAACCACACATAGAAAAATTAGGTTATGGGCAATGTACCTCACCAAAATGGAATCTTTGCTAGGTTTGGTTACTTGTTTGGTGTGGGGTTAAGCAGGTAAAAGTCACAGGTAGACAAGGCAGCCGCTCACAATCCATTGCCAAGGCGTACGTACTGTCCCGGGACAGACGGGAGGATCTTAACAATTCTTCTTGACTGAAACTGAACTATTCCAATTTTTCTTTTTCTTTTACTTCCATCATCAAAAACAGACTACTTTCCTGAACTAGTCAACATTGTTTTGTCCTGCTCGTGAAGTCACCTAAAGCAGCAGAGGCACTAAAGAGAGCCTGCCCATCCTCAGTGCTACAATGTACTGCTAGCAAATTCGCCCAACCACGACAAAAATATAGTCTATTAACAGACTGTAAAAACAAATGACTGAAACTCACTTAAATATTAGTAAGGAAACTGGTGATGTAGCATGGGATAAGCATAAATATTATTCTATGGCATCTTTTTTTTTTTTAAAGCTATCTATCTATACATGCTGCTAGGGAAGTCCTCAACATGCACTTGTACTGAAAACTCAAGTGAACATGCTGCTGCCATAGAAACGAAGACGGGGCTTGCTAATAGTAACACAAGGAATTAAGCCACATATTGGAATGCCTGCATCCCATATGATTGCTTGGTTTGGACCTGGCGCGGTGGCCTAGCAGCTAAAGTCCTCCTCTTGCATGTGCTGGGATCCCATATGGGAGCTGGTTCTAATCTCAGCAGCCCCGCTTCCCATCTAGCTCCCTGCCTGTGGCCTGGGAAGACAAGCAAGAACGGCCCAAAGCCTTGGACCCTGCACCTGCATGGGAGACCTGGAAGAGGCTCTGGATTGGCTCAGCTCCAGCTGTTGCAGACAGAAGATCTTTCTCTCTTTCTAATAATACAAATAAATACATGAAGAAATAAGGACTGTTAAGCTTGAACCCTGGCCACTCTGCTTCTGATCCAGCTTCCTGTTCCTGTGCTTGGGCTGCTCTGGGCCAAGCCTTGGCTGCTGTGCATGTAGAGTACCAGTGGAACATTCTCTCTTCGCCCTCCCTTCCTATGAATCTGCCTTCGAAATAAATTTTAGAAAGTTTCAAAGACATATATATTGTATGTATGTACGTACATACACTGGCAGGGCAGATAAGAGACTGAAAACAATGCCTGCCTCGGCTGGGGGCGGCAGGGAAGGAACGTTGAGTATGTAAAAGGCAGATTTATTTTTCCCTTTATACATTTTCATATTGTCTAAATTTGAAAATGACAAAAAATTAGACAGAATTAAACAGCTGCAATATATTTAAGAAACCAGTTTAACAAGGAATACAAAACCACCTGTCTTAAAAAATCATTTCCTATAAGTACATAAATTCTTTTAAAAAGCCAGAGCAACTATTTGGACAACTGCCCACTTGCATTTAAGCAGAACAGCACACAAATGCCGGCATCATTACGCAGCAGGTTGGATGGAGGCAGAAGGGCACCTGAGGTGAGGCATGGTCCGCTTCCTTCAGGAGCCAGGAAGTGAGAGCAGCCAGCATTGTACTCATCCACACTCCACGGGCCTAGAGCACCACACTCCAGTCCTCCCCAGTCAACCACGCAGGCTGTTTGGCATGGTGTTGTTGCATTCTCTACACTACTACGCATCCCACAACTCCTGTTTGTGAGTGGCGCAAGGATCAATAATTGAACTGAACTATTTTCTGTTACATTTAACTACTAACATAAAAGCAACCCATCTAGGCTGAGAAAATCACACTATTAAAAACTATTTAAAACATAGAAATATGAAATTGTGAATGCTGACATGATACCACAAATGGAAAATTCCACGCCTGACCTCACATAATAGGTTGCAGTTAAAAGGTACACACACTAGAAATATTATATACAATTAACTTCAACATACTTCATTTACAGGTAAACATTCCAAAAACCGAAACACACACACAGAGCCTCAAATACCTCTGGTCTTAATCCTGTGTTATTCTTAAAACCCTTAGGAAAGATGTATAATTGTAACTAACATTTTAAAAAAAATTATTAAGTACTTTTCATTGAAATCCAAACTAACAATCAGTTATTCTAACAAATTATTCCTGAGCAGGATGAGTATCAGCCACCATTTACTGAGCATGTTAATATCCAGGATTTCATTTCATCCCCTTAAGTGTAGGCAGTCAGTACTATCAACATCTCTACTTACAGACCAGATAACTTGATGATAAAGACTGAACAACTTGGCTTTGTTCAACAAAGCTGATAAGAAACAGAAACAGGCACAGGATTCACACTCAAATCTCTCACCTTGATGGCCCCTCCTCTTTTCTACTACATTATCATAGATTAAAAAAAAAAAAACCACAACTCCCCAGAAGTAAACTGCTAATAAGCCTTCATTTGCTTAACAGGAAGACAGAGGGGCACATGTAAAGGATGCTCTAAACCAGAATCTAAATTCCTGTGCGTACAGCATGCACATTCTATTTTAAAATCTGTTCAGACAGCTGTAAATTTCAATTCTTAGAGGTCTCCATCATCTAGTTCTTCACTAACTTTCCACATCTGTACATTAAAATATTTTTGAATTCCTATTGGAAGCTCCCATCTGTAGGGATATCAATGTTCATATTATGAAAAATCTGGCCTCAGAGTAATTTTTAAAATGAATCCATCTACTATTTTTATCACAAAATGCTTTCAAGAGCTTGATTTAATCCTCATTAAAGTTTGTGGCCAAGTTCCTACCACGAGAAAGGTAGTCTGATGTAGTCTTGCATTTCCAAGTTCAGACTTCGTGGAAGTCTCACTGTCACTTTCCCAACTGTAATGATCCTGGACATGACACTTAACCTGTTGGGCCATTTCCTCATTAGTAAAATCAAGACTAGCCAAGTACCTACACCACAGTACTGTTAGGATGAAAGCAAGAAACAGGATGTAAAACAGTGATGCGCCAGACCCCATTCTCAGAGTTCCACTGAACTCACCAAAAACAAAACTCGTATGAAAACACTAATTATAATCTCAAAGTGTATTTCAGACCACAGAATGAAAGCTCACGATTTAAAAGGGAGAGATTTTTCCCCACCCCCGCCTGTCAGTTCTCTGGACCTGCACACACTCAGCATGGGGCCAGCAGCCAAGGACCCACGGCTTGCTCTCCTCTCCTTCCAGGGGGAGCAGGGAAGCCAAGGCCAGCACCTTGAACCCTGCCCAGGTACATTAGCCCACACTTAAACTTGGCCCCTGTCTATAGCATAGAGGCATTCCAAACTGTAACTTGAACTGCTGCACCACAGCGCCTGCTCCCAAACAGCAGCTTTTTTTTTTTTTTTTTTGGCAGGAAATTGCTGCAAAATTGTTTCTGCCTTTGCCAATTCAACCTTCTTCATCATGGCTGCTGGTTACATGTGTGTGCGATTCGTAAAGATTCATCAACCTGTTTACTATGTGTAGTTTTTTTCTCGTGCACTACTTTGCAATATTCTTAATCTTTTAATTATTTTAACTAAGTGTATTAGTGTACAGCCTAGGGATGGCAACTTGGAGAATTTCCCATAAACACTTCCCACCACATCTTGTAACACGCTTGCTTGCTTGAAGTCATCGCAAATCACTCAGGCCTTGAAAATCAACACCACCTGCCGCCTTCTCCGAGGCGTGATGGCCTGCTTGTGTTCCGTACGGCCTCAAAACAAGGTCATGGAAAAAGCAGGCCTGCATACCATTTTCCCCACCAAAATTAACTTCTTATACTTTTATTCCCCCTGGATATTTTGGAGTACCACTATAGCCATAAAATACCAAAACCAAGAAAATTCAGAATGACATTTCAAGTTGTTCGAAATACAAGCAGCGAGCAATGCTTACTTTGTCACTTCAGGAAGCCACTGCACGGTAAGACTGGGCCACTGCAGAGCATGGGTCATAACCAGGTCATACAGAAACGGAGTGTTCTTCTTCCAGATTTTATACTCTTCATTGATCACACGCTCCTCCACAGTGTCTTCGAACACTGAAATTTCGAGAAAGCCCATACAGTGTTGGAGAGGGATCAAAAGCAGAGTGTGCGCACAGTTATGGAGGTCACCTCGTGATGGCCACACCTAACTTACTCTTTCCTCCTACCTCAATTCCGGACACAACTAACTGCTCTCCCAAACCGTGCAGATCACCACCAGGAAGCCCCCGTTTTTCCATGTCGAGCCCAACTCCTCCTACGTATGCAGTCACACACCGAATTACACAGACACGGATTGTGCAGCCTGCTGCAGCTGTTCGCACCTGCTCCCGCCGCACGACCTGTGCGCACAGGGGCGCCACGACCCCCGCGAGGCGCCCGAGGCACGTGCAGCGGAAACCCGCGGGCCTGCTCCCTCCGCCGCAGGAGGCCCCAGCTCCCGCGGCGCCCGCGTCGGCGGCCGTAGGCCTGCGGCCTCGGGAGCCCCCCGCCCCGGGCCGAGGGCCGCGACCCCGCGGCGGCGGACGTGCGCGCGCAGCAGCCCGCGCCGGGCGCGTGGCGGGGCGGCGAGCGCGTCCGCTTCGGGGGGCCCCGGGCCGCCGGGGGCTGGGGGAGGGGGCCCGCCGCGGCCCCGCGCCCGGCTCCGGAAGTGGTGCGGGCCCTCGGCGCGGCGGCCCGGGCCCGCGGCGGCCCCGCCCCCCGCCCGCACGCCAGTTCGCGCCTTTCGCCGGCGCGTGCCACGGCCCCGCGCGCCCGCCGCCCCCCGCCGCCCGGCGCGCGCCGCCCCGCGGGGCCTCTTACTCTCTTTACTCGCCATCTTGCGTCGGCTCGCTAGCCCCTCCAAGCCGCCTGAGACGCCCCTCGCCAGCCGGGCGCAGCTCGACCGCCGGCGCCTTGGCCAGGCGCGTCACACACGCCTAGCTCTCAGAAGCTGAGCGCCGCCTCACCGCCTGGGTTCTCCCCAGACGCTGCGTCTTTCTCCTCCCTCGCCCCTCGCTCACGGGTACCGAGAGCTCCGAGGCGCTCTTCTCTCTCTCTCTCTCCAAACTTGGAACGAGACTTTTCAACCCGCGCCTGCAAGCCCGCCCAGGCAGCTGAGCGCAGGCGCATCCGCCTTGGGAACAGGGAGAGGCGCTGGAGAGGCGGGCCTGGGAGCCAACGGCGCCGCTGCCTCGACCAATGACGCGCTGCTCGCGGCGCTGGGAGGCGGGCCTCTGGGGGGGCGGGGCGTCCCGCGGCAGGAAGTTGCAGAGGCGCAGGCGCGCCGAGTCGCCCGGCGCTCCCAAGGCCGGCCGTGGGGGCTGCGAGGCAGTGCGGGGGCGGGGCAAATGGAGGCGCGGCGTGCGGGCTGCGCGGGGGCCGCGAGCCCCGGGGCGCCGAACCCTGGGGCCCGCGGGGCGTGGTTGCTCGGAGCAACAGCCGCTGTAGGCCTCGAGTGGGGGCTGGGGAGCCTGCCTCCGCTTAGCCAAGCAAAAATCTCAGAGCGGGGGAGGAAAATGGTTCCTGTTCTCGAGAGATTACGGTGTCCTCAAACTCCGCGGTAGTGACGGGCAGTTTCTCAGTATCCCCCAGGAAGCTTCCCATCCAGGCTTCTGGCCTTTCTTGGGGTCCGTTTAGGCCGAGGCAGGGTTTATGGCAGAAGGGGACCTTTTGGGGGAGGCTGCGGGCGTTTTCTGCCTGCACAGGCGGTCGGGCTGCGCTGTCGGGCTAAGCGTGCGGCCTGTGCTGCTGTTAGGCCACCTTGAAGCACACTGTCATTGGTACGCAATTCTGGGTCCCTAAAACGTCGCTTTGCCGCCTCTTTGTGCTCTAAGGGGGTTTTGTTTTCCTACAGCTGTTAGGCTAGTCACAGCTCCTACCCCTGCTGAGTCATTCTTGTTCCCCGTGGGGGTCCCAGGGCGACCCCAGGCCGAGCGAGCGAAGCTGGAGAGAGCTGGGCTGAGCCGACTCAAACCAGTTTACCTGAGTCCTGCTTTGCCCAAAGCTTTGGGGCCCCTGAGGAGTGAGTGAAGGTGAGGAGAACGGGGCGGGAGGGGATGAAGCCAGAAGGAGAACGGAAAGAAGAAAATGAACTGCTGAAGCGGAGGGCACGGGGGGCGGGGGGGGGCGAGGGCAGAAGTGCCCACGTGCACCGGGGACCGCAGCCCACTGCCAGTCTCCCAGCGGGACCCCCTTTGCAGAAAGCACCCCCGCACGTTGGCTGCGTAGAGAGCTTTCCACGTGCTTTCATGCTGCAATGCCAGCGTGCAGCTGTGGCTATGGTACCCATGCTTCTGGTCGGGAAACAAACCCACACGTTAGCATCGTCGGTGGCAGAACTGGCCCAATTGCCTTATATAGAAATTTATTGTCTTAGGCCTCTGGTTTCCCACACAAATCCCTGTGATAACGCCCTGCCTCCATGTCAAGTTGAAGGATCTTGTTGGAACAGAGTAGCCGCAGAGGGAAGAGCTTTGGAAGGCTGTTCCAGCATACGGCCCTCGTCTTCCAAAGCACTGGTTGGCAAACTTTTCTAAAAGGGGCCGATAGCCAATATTTTAGACCTTGGGGGCAACTACAAGACCGCTGTGTTGTAATACAATTATCAGCCACAGAATATGGAGGAACCTGGCTGTGTTTCAATAAAATTATGGACGCTGAAATTTGAACTTGGTGTAGTTTTCATGGGACACAGAACACTCTCTTAAAGAGTTCCTTTTTTCCCCCCTAGACCCTTGAAACGGGAAAAACCGTTTTCAGCTGACAGGCCATACCAAAACGCGTTATTAATTCTATTGAGCTGAGGGATTGTGGTTTGCCCACTGGGTTCTAGAATGATCGGCTCTTAGAGCTCTGCCCGTTGGGAACCTCCTGTGCACAGCAAGAAAAAGCTTGAGAGATGGTTTCTTGTCCCTTTCATATAATTTAGTCACCTCTGATAGGTAGACATCATTTCCTAAACGTTAAATGTCTAAAAGAGGGACATGTAATCTTACTAAACAATGACTGAATGAATTCTTTATACTGCCTGTCTCACTAAGGGTCAGAGAAGTAGGAGGCAGGCATTTTGTGGAGGTTTCTGAGAATATCCAGGCACATCATTTACTTACTGCGGATGCGGAAGTAGCATGTATAATGTATTTCATTGCCTTTGGATATTTGTTCTCACTGTCAAATTGAACTTGTCAGTTCTGTCATAATTCTTTTGGTCTTTTTTTTCTCTCATCAGGTAGGTTTTTTGGTGTAAAAAAAAAGGTAGCAGGCTTTTTTTTTTTTTTTTTCTGTTGACTTGCTCCACTTCTCAGTTCTATTTTACCTTTCTCCCCAGCCTGGAAACTTTGGTCCTAGTGTTTTGGGGCACTTGTGTGTGTGTTTCTCACCTCTCCAGCACCCAGTTAAATCTACTAATCATGTAAGGTACATATACAAAGGAATGTTAAAAGTCATAGGTTATGCAATTAAAGATGAGGTTATTTTGGTATACGAAATGTTAAAGCCATTAACCATTTTTCATAATATCTGTTTCCATAAACTTTGTAAAGACCACTCATCTGTGTGCATTTTGAGAAAAAAAATTTGCACCAAAATAACCTTACAATTTTCAAAGACTTTTAAAAAATGCATTTTAAATGTAGAGTGATAGAGGAAGAGACATCTGCCATCTGTCTACTGGTTCACACCCCACATGGCTGCCACGGCTAGGTCTGGGCCAGGCTGCAGGAAGCAGGAATTCCATCTAGGTCTCCATCTGGGTGGCAGGGCCCCAAGCCCTTGGGCCATCTTCTGCTGCTTTTCCCTTTTCCAGGCACATTAGCAGAGAGCTGGTTTGGAAGCAGAATAAGCAGGATTTGAACTGTTGCTCTAAGGTAGGGTGTTAGCCTTGTGTCAGGTTATCCCTCTGTGCGGCACCGCTGGCTACTTCCCTGAGCTGCTTGAAGGACCTTCATAGGTGCCTGCACATGGTGTGGGGGATCTGAATGAAGAAAATCCTACCTAGGGACCTTATCCTAACACTGTTTTCCTGAAAGTTGCTGTAGGACGAACCACTTGCTCCAAATCAGAGTTTTACAGACTGTTACACACACACGCAAACTGCAAAAAGTCACACAAAATGGTACTGACCTTTAATATGTGCGATGCACTCTGGCACTGTATTTCAATTTTTGAAAATGCAGATCACCCTCTGAGTTGGTTTTATAATTGCATTTAGTCATAACCTGAATTCTTCAAAAAAGCACATTAGGGTTTTTTTTTTTTTTTTTTAAAAACCCTTAACTGTCCCTGACAACCCATTTGTGAAATAACAACACACCATCACACACCCCAGCAGGTAATCATTTTCTTTCCCCTTTTTTCTGCATAGCACTTAGCACCACCTGACAAATGTTTATTCAGAGGCTTTCTTCTCTATACTAGACTGTAAAATTTTGAAAAGTTATCTGAGAGGCAGGGAGAGCACAAGCGAGCTCCCATCCACTGGCCCACTTCCCATAATGGTCAAATTCACAATGGGCAGGGCTGGCTCGAGGCCTAAGTCAGGGAGCAGGAGTGCAATGCATCTTCCACGGGGATGGGGTGGGGGGAACAGGAGGAGTCCAATTGCTTGACTTGTTACTGCTACCTCCCCGGGCCTGTATTAGCAGGCTGGACTTCAGGCTTGGGCTTCAACCCACACACTCCACTGTGGGATGCTTGCTTCTTAATGAGCATCTTACCCAATAGGCTGAACACCTGTTCCCAGACTATACATTTGAGAATGGTATCTTTGTTTTGTGCTTGCAGTACTCGGAGCAGTGCTTACCAAATGGAAGCTGGAACACGGAGTGGTGATGTTTCCTGTCAAGGTCATACAACAAGTGAGTGTTGTAACTGTTATTTGAGTTCAGTCTTATATTAGGACAGCAGGAGTGACCATAGGTGATAGAGTTGTTTACTAAAAACCATAGGATAGTGAAAAGAATCCCTGAACATAGCTGTGTTTGTTAGCAACTGTGTTGCACTGGTTTCGGAGTGAAAATCTCCACCAGTCAAGGGAGCTTTTTGGAGTACGTACTGTGTGCCAAGCCATGTTTTGGAAACATGAGCTACCTGGGAGAGCAAGAATAACCCAGATCCTGCTCTTTTAGACATTCTTATATTGATTATTTTGCATATTACAAAAAATCTCATTACATAAAAATCTGCAAAGCACACAAGCAAAAGAAAAGCATAGAGAATACTAGGAGTTGGGGTGTGTGGGGGAGAATAGTTGGCTTAGCTGTGCCTGATTTCAGTCACAGATGGAGGCTATTGTGGTCATTAGGGGATTGAGGCAACAGGTGGGAGCTGCCTGCTTTCTCGTTTCATTTCTGCTTTACCTCTAATAGTAATTCATTTTTAAGAGCCCCATACCAGTGTGGGGGTGGGTAGCTGGTGTGTGGTCCATGCCTCAGCCTGATTCCATCCCTGCCTCCTGATGAGCTTCTTGCCAATGAAGTCCATAGCAGTCCAGTGGTGGTGGTTAGTGCAGAGGAGTGAACTGGGAGTGAACTGGGCTGGGAGCTTTCTCTGTCTCTCAAGCTCTCTAATATAAACAAGCAAACAAGGTGTTTGGTTTAATTTTGTGGACACCCTCAGTTTCTAAGTGCCTGGGCTCAAGGCTCAGCTGTATATTTGCTTGCAAGCGCCTGCTAATAGATAGGTGGGGAAGCCTCAGCTGCTGGCACCAGTGCTTGTAGGTCCCTGCCCTCAAGAAGAAGAACTGGATTGAGTTCACAGCTCCCCACTTCAGCGGAGCTGGTTCAGACTGTTCTGGACATGTGGGGAGTGAGCCAACAGATGAGAGCAGCCTCTAAACACACATACAAACTGATTTTGGTTTTGATCAAGTTGTTGTTTCCAAACCATTATGAGCACAAAGCACACTAAAATGTTAATACTCTTCTTTTTCTTGGCACTGGTAGACGCATGATTGTTATTTTATTTTTATTTATTGTCTTATTTTAAACTTTTCTTCAGTGGGCACAGGTCACTTTAGTCAACAGGAAAAACACCCATACATTTTAGAAAAAAGGTCTCTGAAGAAATGGTAGCGAAGCACTTCAAATGCTTTGTCATGGGCTGGTAGAATTAAAGTG